GCACCTCCCTTGGCCCCTCAGGCCAGGGCAGAGCTGAAGGGGATGCCGCTCTGGGCAGCGGGGGATGCTGAGAGAAAGATGCACCCTTACCATAAGCAGGCTGTGGGTGAGAGTCACCTGAGTAATTGATCAAACCCAAAGAATTCAAGACATGGCCCAACCTACTATCAAAATAAACTAAACCGATGAACAAACAGCTACCACCAGACCCCGCAGTCGCAAAGGAAGAAAAGGGACCCCCTCTGTGCTGGGAGGGGTGGGCCCCGCCCACAAGAAGGGAAGACCAGCCGAGCCCTTTTTGTCTACTTGACGGGCTGGTTCAAAGAGCAACCCACTTTTTCTAGTTGAAGGCTGATTTCGGGTCGTAAAGAGCAACCGTTCCCTACCAAACAGTCAATCGTCCAACAAGCAGTAACCTTCCGGCCCCAAAAGACCAAGTTGAAGGCTCCGCCTTCCGCCCTTTTGGTTCAGTTGACAGAAAACTACTGGGCCCATTGAAGTGACAATTTCAAGATTTATTACTCCCTAGAAATTGTGGCTTCCAGGGAAAGTCATTTTGAGAACCCCTCACAATGGTCACTTTTGCTTGGGATGAAGCCGGTTGCAGCCTGGCGTGGAGAGCCGAAGCTCCGACGTGTCCCGACGCGTCCGGGTTCTCCCCACTGTTGGAGGTACAGGGGCGAAATCATTTCGCACAGAATGATGTGGTGGTCAGGCTCAAATTGGTTTTCAGGAACCCCACAGCCTTATTCTGATTCTTTTGGCCCTAGAAGCTGGAAAAACACATCTATCACCTTCCTCTCGGAAGACAACCCTGGTAAGCCACAAGCTTGATAGAGGTACCCGAGTCAACTGGTCGATCCTCAGAACCATATAAAGACTTAAAAAGGCGGCCGCACCCATTCATTTATGGTTGGGACCGTCCCTCACAGACCTTCATCTACCCGGGTCTTGATCAAACCTCACCTGGAACCTGCATGCTTAAACAAATTGCGCCATCTTAAGTAGGGGGTCATGATCCCATGTTTCAAGAGTCCTAGAGTCTCCATGACCCCTAAAATGGGGGTCATTGCCCAAAATACAGGGAAAAGTTGGGGTCCTTGCCCAAAAAAAGGGGTCATGGGCCCATTTTCAAATGGTCATGGTCATGTGCGGAGACTCCAGGCAGCTCTCAGCTCACTTGGCACCCCTGCCACATCCTTCAGCCTGGGCAGCCCCAGGTCCTGCCAAAATTGGATGCGAATGAAAAATAGGTACCGCAAATGGAACCAAAACTTGGAACAAAGGGAAACATGGACAGCCCCTGGTAAAAACTTGCGCAAACTTTTCACTTACCGAAACAAATGGAACCCTGGTAAGTGGCAACATGTACCAAAACGTGCGGTCCAATTCCTGGTGGTTCATTTTTTACCAATACCCTACTTGCGCTCCCCCTCCTTGTTTGATGTTGCAGAGGGAGAACAAGGGAAACCGCACCAGAACTCATTTTTTTGGAGTTGGTATCCCTTTCTTGTGGTCACCAATGTTCTGCCGTTGTTTTGGCGGTGGTGCCCTGTTTCTTTGGTGGTGTTAAAAGGGAAACCAAAAGGAGAACCGAAGCCCTTTGAGGGAACCTAAAACAAGACACAAACAACAGCAATGTTTTACCCTTGGGATCGGACGTTGGAAAACAAAGGAACCTGCTGACCAATCCTCAACAGCAGGAGTTGTAGAAGCTTGGTCCCTTGACCAATGTTCTACCCTGATGAAGAATATGTTTTACCCAAACGGGGTTTCATTCTTTAGGAACGTCCAAAGGATCAACTCTGAACCCAAAGCTCAACAGTTCCGGCGGGTGCCACCAGCGAAAAAGCAACCGAGATCAGAACATGGCTGCCGCTTGACATGGCTTAGCCCAAAAGGGCCGCCCCCGTGCCCCTGAAGCTTGCCTCTGATGATCGCTCCTTCAAGTATATATGTACCATGCCCTCATTCTGACTCCAAAAGTGGGGACTCAGTGTCCGCAGCCCTGGTCTTTGGAAGTGTTGCCAGTGCGTTTGGTCACCGGTGTCCGCACACCTCTGGGAAACTGGGACTCTGGGAAACTGGGGGATCGAGTTGCTCAACGAAGGCGCGTGACAAAGCCGCTGGAGCCTGCGAACGAACAAGGAATCCCCATCCCAAGGGGTAAAACTGAGTCTTTGGTGCCCTCAAAGACCAAAGACATATGGCCCTTGGTACCAAACTGGGTAAAACTGAATTGGAGGTAAAGACCCAAAATATGGCCCTCCAATTCAAACTGCCTGTGCATTCGCAGCTCACCCAGGCGTAGGGCTTCGAAGGTCCCTCGCGGTGCCGCTGGGTCGGCTCGAAAGCGACCAAACCAAACCCCACCTTGCGGAGTATTTATGCAGGGAAGCAAATGCACGTAGTGATGCACCAATTCCTATCACGGCTGTCCTTTTGCTACCTTCTGGATTAAGAAGGATTGAAGAATAGATGCCCCTCCTGCATGGTTCAAGAAAGTGAAACCAACAGGAAAGCAATCATTTGAGATCACGACCCGGGCCCCATGCGAAATCCACATCTCAGCCCATCCCTTCGATGTCCTTCACTTGCGCGTCCCGCAGCGCATCACGGGCCTGCGGCCACACAGGACACCCTAAAATGACAGGCTCCGAGGAAACCAGGAAGCAACAAAAACAATCAGGTGTCACGTGCATGTTCACTGGGAATTATCTGGTGGACATCAACATTTCGGGATTCATGAATGCACCAACCATTTGTGGACGCTCATGACAATTCATGGCTCCGTGGCAAGGCAAGGGAGGATCGGTATCGGTTCATGGGTGTCTTTTTCTGAAGTGTCCCCCCTTTTGGAGCGGCTCTACTAAACAAGAGAAGCCAAAATGACACCGATGATGACGAGGAGTTTGTGAAAAAAAAATCGATCGACGATGACGATGACGATGACGATGACGATGACGATGACGATGACGATGACGATGACGATGACGATGATGATGATGATGATGATGATGATGATGATGCTGATGCTGATGCCGATGACAAGGCGTGCTAAGGCAGACCCTTGTAAACCCCGGCAAACCCATTCACTGGCGCTTCAACTTGGACCCAAAGAACTCACAGCACCGACTCAAAGGTCCTTCGACGGAAAACCCACGGAACGGGATGAGTATTGGATTTGGGGGTGCGCGGCTCCAAGACTCAAAGGAGCCCTCGTCTTTAGTCAACCTGATGCCAAGTAAACCTTTGCAACTTACCGAAACAAAACTATGCATATCCTTGTCAGACAATGTACATCATCGCGATTCACCACAGAATTTGCAGTTTACCTGGACGTTGTTGGGTGTGGTTGGTTCACTTGCTCAAGATACATGGCCAAACACCAAACGAAAAGAAACCAGACCAGGACGAATCAACCGCAACCAACAACAAAAACCCAACACCCCAGCTGCCATCCTGCCTGTGGGGGCAGGATGGTGCGTGCCTTGGACGCGTCACAGTCGGCCAAAAATAATCCGCACTTGCTCAGCGAGAGAGAGCAAGTGCTAAAGAGCCCCTTGCCTTTGTCAGCTTGCTGGGGAAACCATTCATGTGGGCTCCCACGCCCATTTAAGGAAAACTTCTAATGTTTAAGAGACAAACGGAAGCACAAAATGTTCCAAACCAGATTCTACTGCGGGTCCTATCTGACAAATCCGCTTTCCTGCAATGTTGATTTGGGAAACATCCTAGCCACATCTCACTGAGCCAAAACGCTTTCAGCTTGGCTTGTCTCTAAATAGTGGCCCCACAAAATGGGGCGCACACACACACACACCGACCAAGACATGGTCACCGTCAAACTGGGTTCGTGCTACCAGGACTTGCGCCACCCTTTTGGCTCCCTTTCGGTGTGTATCAAAACGTGGAGTCTCTCGAACTTGGCGGGGGTCCCTTTGAATTTAACCACAAGTACCAAGGCGGCCGCAGCGGTTTCTGGCCGGGTTTGTCCCTAACTAACCTTCATCTACGCGGGTTTTGATTGTGGCTCATTTGAAGTGGACCCATTGATGCCAACTCAGCCAGAACCACAGACCAAGAGCAACAGGAGGGAATCCTCCACTATGAGGCCTTACGGGAGCGCTGAAAAACCCGCCGCACCTCCGTATCTTCGAAATGCTTCCTGGTCGTAGAGGGACTGCGACCCGGGCCAGCCTGCAAGGTCCAGTTCAACCACAGATCCAAGCAGGCATCCCTGAACCCCGGTGCATGACATCTGTATGTATGTATATATGTGTGTATTAATATATCATTTAGACACATGCATATTCTAGTGGGTGCGTGCAAAAATGGGGCAAGCTCCAAAATGCGTAGTTTCCTGACACCGAAAAGGGTAACCTTGAAAAATACACCACATGGCTATTTGTTTTGTTCTTCAATCATCATGAATCCTCCAATGCAGACCGCGCCCCGGGTCCGCAAGAAACAAACCATGCTTGTGGCAAATTGTACCACCTTCAAGTATCTGATTGCTTTCTTGGGAATACACCGATAAGCCCAGTCTACCACGGCAAACATAGCCCCTTTGCACTAGCGTGTTCAGTATCTGAAGATAGAGAAACGATCAAAATCTACGGACTCTCTTTGACGTCAGACAGCATCCAAAAAGGTGTCCCGTATTCCAACGGGTTTGACCCGAACGGACCACTTCGGGCAAAGCAAACGATCCTCACAGTGTCAACCTCGGATTCTGGAGGACAAGGGGCGGCAGAAAATGACACGAAGCACGCCCCTTTCTCTTCATCCTCCAGTTCAGTGTTTGCTTTGGGGGGAGGGAGCCCAAAACAACTTCTTCAATCAAACACACGCTGATTCCCCTTTGGTCTTGTTACTGGGATTGGGTTGCCACGCTCCTGCCACTTTCACAAAAGCCACGCTCACGGCAGGCGCTGCCCTTTTGAAACCTGCGCTTGCGCAAAGGCGCGCGCGCGCTGGCGCAGGCGACTCCTTTGGCATCAGAGGTTCCTGAGCTCGGCCAAGTCGCGGGGAAGCATCCGAAGAGGTTGGGGGTCCAGGGACCGGGGACCGAATGAGAGCAGGGGCGGTTCGGAAAAAATGGCAGTGGGTCAAACATAGGCACCCAAAATAAAACCCTGGTAAATGGACACATGGACTAAAGCCTGTGGTCCAATTCCTGGTGGTTTAATTTTGACGCATACTCAAATGAGGCTCAATCAGGCCCATGGGGTATTGGGGCCTATTCGGGTGGGCTGCACGGACCATGACCAAAGCAAGAGTGGCTTGGACCTGGCCCAACAAACAGCTTATAGGAAAGTGGGCAAGGTCTAGCATTGAAGGGGTTGATACAGTATTGCGTCAGGGTTCATTCACAACAGGTTGATATGGCCATGGGTCAAAACCCAAATCGTACCCCCAGTGAACATCCCAATCCCCAGTAATAGGTTCTAAATGGGTGGTGAATTCACCTATCCCAAAATGGTACCAAAAGGGTTTGGACCCACAGCCGTATTGTTTCAGGGTTCCTCGACCCACGGTTGGCGTCAGGTGCCCTGCGAGTCTTTTGGATTCGTCATTGGAGGGTGGAAAGGGGTGATTCGTGCACTCCTGATTTCAAGGCTCCTGTTCAAGGGCCAGCGACAATGCCAAAAACTCACCCCTGAAACTTGAAACATCCAAGCCTTTCTTGTGATTGCGTAGGGTGCAACTACAACAAAGGCAAGAGCCATCGCCTGGTTCTTCGAAATTGACCGGCCCCATGGCACAAACAAGATGTTCTTCTGCGACCTTGCAGGAAGATAGCGCAATGCTTCTTCCTTTTGTGGCGCCCCTGGCCTGCATGCCTTCAACGCCCCCCACGGAAAGGGAGAAAGACACACCCAGAGGGAATTCCAGGGTCCGCAGGCTAGCTGCTCTTGCTTCTCCGTTGGAGGGCGGGGCTGGAGGGTGGCCGAACCCCGTTTCCTTTTGTTTCTTCTTCAAATGCAGAAATACGAAGGTCTGGTGGTTGTTTCACTAACGCCCGACCTGGTAGACCAGTCCGGTTGGCAAGAGGAGGTAAATCCTGAAACCACCAACCCAAACCAGCAACTAGAATGAACCAGAAGAGGATACCAAAACGACCGGGCTCATTCCAGAACCACCTCAGCAGATCAGCGTTCCTCTGATTGGTGAGTTGTAAAACGAACCGCAAAGTAAATTTCCCAACTCTTCATCAACTACTCCAATAATAAGATCCTCCGATTCTGTTTCATATGAGGCTGCGTTCTTTTTTAGGTATCTCTTTTTGGGTTGGATTGAAGGGACACCAAAAAGGCCAACCACCTGTTTGTTTGTCTGTTGGCCTGCCTGTTTGTTTGTTTATTTGCTTGATTGTTTGTTTGTTTATTTGGGGGAAGGGGCTTGTTGAGACAAGCCGAGGCGCCAGGTGAAGTCTTGGCCCCGCTTCTGGCGCTTCAGGCCCTGCTCCAGTCGCGGGCCCGGCAGGTAGGACTTCAGCTCATCGCACCTCTCTTCGAGGTGAGGGGGGTGGGGTTGGGCGGGGGGGGGGGGGGTGGGAGGGGTGGGAGGGGTGGGATGGGGGGGGGAGGGGTGGGAGGGGTGGGAGGGGTGGGAGTGGTGGGAGGGGTGGGAGGGGTGGGAGGGGTGGGAGGGGTGGAAGGGGTGGGAGGGGTGGGAGGGGTGGGAGGGGTGGGGGGCAAGGGGTGGGGGTGGATGATTGCTTTCAAGCCTTTGTTGTCTTCCTGGTTCGGGGATTGCAGTAAGGCCAACTTTCTGCGCCTCTGATTTTAGCAGGGAGTCTACCGAAGACCCCAAGCGGGTCTTGCTTGTCCTTGAGTCACCACAAGAGGGGAACCAACCGGAAAAAAAAAAAGAGGAAAAGGCGTGCGACGTGGTGAAACCTTTGGCTGCCTACCGAAGCAAACCAGACAGATCTTGCTACTTGGCCCTTTTGAACATCAAAGAATGCCCGACAAATCCGGATTGCCGACGTGGACCATCATTTTCCTGGTACCCTCCGGGGAAATGCCTATATGTAGGTTCCTTCAGGGCCGATTGGTTGGAGCCAACAACACCCAACACCGTGGCGAGCTACGGTCAAAAAGCATGCGCTGCCCGGCGAAATTAGGCTCATATCCACTTGTCTGTTGTAGGAAACTGAGCAGGGCCTGTGCAAAAATTAACGAACTTCTTGGTCGAGGAGTCTAGCCAAGCAGCCTGCCAAGCTTCTTCTACACTCCGGATTGCTTCACTTTCAGTTGCCTCTACCTGTTGCTTCTGGATGGGACCTTTCCGCAGATCCCAAGGAATGATGGTGCCTGAATGCCGCCGTCGCCCTCCAAAGGTGAGAGGGCAATCAGACTTTGTCCAGACAAATAGTCATCACGTTCCAAAATAAACTTGTCACACGCTTGCAAGGACAAGCAGCACGCACATTTTGTTCAACCTCCTTCAACAGCCTTCAAGCTTCAAAACGTGGTCATTAGGGCCAACCTCCAAGAATCCCAGAGATTTCACTACGTGCACATGAGTGGCCAAAAAATCCTCATGTGGATGCCAAGTTTGGCATAAAGAGAAAAAAAGTGAAATTTTGCGCTGCTCCACTTATGGTTGACCAAGTACAAGTTACAACTTTTTGAGGGGGTTCCAACATATGTTCCAACAGTGTAGCCTCCCACCAAACAACCAAGTTTCAAAGTTGCCAACTCAACAGGACTTTAAAGGCCAAGGCTCCGTAACGTGAGCTTCGGATTAATCCGGAGGTTCCAGTAACAAGGCCAACATTGAACCCACCAGCTCGTGGCCTCTTTTCGGGTTGCACTCGCTGGCCGGTCTGATCAGAGCTGGCCTGATCAGCAACTGCTGCACCAACGGATGCGGCAGCGGGAAAGCCAGGTCATTGGGAGTGAGGTTCTCCTCTCCTACCTTGGTCAAAATAGGGAAATTTGGACCACGGGCGGTTTCCCTTAAACAAACCAACCCACAAACCCCCCACACCCCACACCCGGGTTGGTCAAACTGATCTGCAAGCGAACTTCTGATCCGTTGGGTTTCAGCGTACGGTTTGGAGGCGCTCATGAATCCCTGGAAAACCAATAACAAAACGCACTCAAAAAGTACTTCTACCAAAATAAAATCGGGCAAGAACAGGTGGGGGTTGATCAATATTCCTGCCTCCCCCCCAAATGACCAGGGCTAACTTTTCCCATGTGGGACATATCATCGTTTTGGTTTCCCCCAATGATCATCCCATGTTCATGTTTTTGTTTGTTATCAACCAGGTGAAAGCCGCAAGCCGCAGCCTCCAAACGGATTCCAAGCGTCACAAAATGGCAGTGGCTTAAATTAAAGAGCTAGGGTTACGCAGGTTTTGGTCCATGTTTCCACTTACCAGGGTTCCATGTTGGTACCGGTCTTTTAAGCCATACGGGCCATACCCAAATCCGTCGAACCAAGCTGCAAAGGTCATCTGCCCACCAGGCCGGTCCAGCTCGTGGACAAGGCCTGCCAAGTTGCGTCACCCGCTGACGCGCAAACGGGGTGGGGGAAATCTGCGCCGTTGTTTGGTAGTATTTGTTTTTTGTTTTTCTTTTTAAAGGGAATCCCCACCTCAAAAAAGGGGAAGCATCACTGGTGCCTGGGGTTTGTACCCCGGGTTGCCATTCAGGCGAAAGAACCCGCTCGTTGGTTGGTTGTTTCGGCGAGACAAGGGTATACCCTTAGTAAACCAATCGCTTTGAGGGGGCGGGGGTCAGTTTGCTTTTTCTCTAAACACCGAATCCACGACCAACAGTCTTTAAATTGTCTGTTTCGCCATTTGAGAGATCTTCCCAAAAAGTATCCAGTTCAGGACAAATACGTATCACCTCTTGTGTGCGTCGCATGACTCTGGCCGGGTTGGACACAGCAACACGCGACCCTTGCTTATTGTCCAATCCTGCAGATGAATCTGGGGCCCAAAGATCCATCCACGGAGAGCAAGCTCCTTTTCTTGCAGGGGAGTGTGACAAGATGTCCATTTGTTACTGACCTGACTCGGCTAGTTGACTGGGCTGCAACAGCTCCAACTGGCTTGTGGCTTTACTTCGCATAAGTCCCAATTTCATTCCCCCATTAAGCCAACTGAAGTTGGATTCAAAGGGAAAGCTGAAACCTAAAAGCAAGACAGATGCTAAACAATGAGGGTATCTCTCCTTTCCTTGCCAGGCACTATGGCTCAAAGCTACAACAAAAGAGGCACCTTGGCACCATCACTCGATTGCCAGGCGCCAAATGGCGCCAAACAAGAGGGTTCTATGAGGGCGCCACTCGTCGTCCCGACGTCCCGAGACGGGCCCAACGACATCGAGCGAGGGGCAGTGGTAGAAGGGCTGCAGCTCGCCCCTGGCCAGGTTGGAGACACCTCAGGCGGACTGTGGGGCTCTTGTGTTGTGACAAGGTGCTGGAGGGCATCGCTTTTGTTTGTTTACAGACTGTTGGAGTCGAAAAACCGACATGGCCTCATGGTGTTGATTTGTTTGCAATACAAAGCAACGTGTTTTTTTTTTCCTAAGCGCCCTTGTTGCGACGTGACTGTCGGAAAACAGCATTGTTGGAAAGGGGGTTCTCCCTTGAAATTTGAAATCTGGAAGCACACACAGGAGGTAGTCTCAAAAGCGGATTCCTCTAACAACCATGGTCTTGCTCCCAATATCTGCTTCAGACTCGGTTGAGAACATGTATATGGGGAGATATGTCCACCACGTCACTCAGTTTTGGTCCTCTTCCAATTCACTCCCCTCCCCATATTTCCCCAAAAGCAATCATCACCCGTGGCAGTTGCCCACTTTGGCCCAAAGGGTGGATTTGAAGTGGCAAGGGGTTGATACTGTGTGCGGATGGTTGCGAACTCCGCTCTCGCACCGCCGATCTAAAATCTTGCTTTCTGATCCGATTCCGCCTGGAAATACCAACAAACGCTATGGTTTCGTCCATGGTTCCATTTCGTGGTGCGTATCGCATTGCGTCCATCTGCAGTAGGGACCCTATCAATGAAGGCAGAGAGTTGTGTCAGTGGATTTGAGAGGCAGCTCAAACCCAAGAAAAAAACAGCCACACAAGTGGGATCCTGAAACCGACAAAGGATGCCTGCCGTAAACAAAGGCTGTCGCCCACCCTTGTACAAAGTCATGGTTGAACCATGGTTTACACCGTAGCAAGAGCCACAAACGACCTTAGCTCAAGGCAAAACATCAAATCCAAAGGCGGAATGTATGAGGCTTGTCTAAGAATTAGAAGTCCATTTTTGGATGTTGTTTTACAGGGAACCAAACGACACGTCAAGTTTTAGGGGTCCTCCTATGGCCCTGGCGACACAGGTGATCACCTCTTGGGTTTCGATTCCAGGACCAAAAAGCAAAGACCAAAAGCTCGTTTTTGGGCAACCAGCGCCCATGGCAATCCCGATGTTCGTTGTGTTTTCTTCTTCTTTGGGGGTCTTGTTGTTCGATTTTGCTTTAAACAGAAACCAACAAGAAACCACCGATCCCAAGTAAAATACCTACATCATTGGCAGCAAACATGCGGGTTCACCCGTGCAATTCAATTAGCCAAGATCACTTGCATTCCGGACCTACTGGCAACCGTATCATCACTTGAACTGATCTGTGGACCCGGTCTATGTTCACCAGCCCTTTGAGAGGGTATTCCTTAAAACTCAGAGCCATCCATGTTGACTCATTGACAACAATATCACCTGCACGTATCACCTGCCAGTACCCATCTCGATTGAATATCTATTAGCACCTGCAAGTATCCTTGATCGCCTTCAACTTACATGTCGCCTCCCCTCCCTCCCTGCCTTCCAAGCAGTGGTAGAGTCCCTTTTAAAACAACAGTCTTAATCAACTGGCTGGCGCTCATCAGGGAATGAGGGAATGACCCCTGGAAACAATCCCTTGTGGTTGATGTCCTTTGAGATTTCCCTTCCGGTTCATTCCCAAAACCCGGACTAGGTCATTCCTTACCTATCGCACCAGCCTTTGAGAATGAAAAACGACAAAAACAACACACATATGTCCAGTAGTGTTAGATGCCCTTTAAAACCAATACTTTCAATATTATATACATGTATATATCTATATATACACACTAATATGTATCTATGCATATGCATATGTAGATAAAAATAAACACACATACAGGTGTATATATATATATATAGCTACACACACATATGTATATAAATATATATATATATACACATGTACATACTCATAAATATGTCAATATATATGTATACATACATATGTGTACGTATGTATGTCGCGTGGGCGCCCATCATCTGGCGCCAGGCAGAGCTCGCGGTGCACCAGGGCTCGCAGGCCACCACCACCCCGCGGTAGCCGTAGCGCCGGTGCACGAAGCCTCGCTTCGGTGGCTCGGGCTCGCTCGCGCTCGCGAAGGGAAGATCCCAGGTGCGGGGAAGAGAAAAGATGTGCCCTAAAAACAAGACATACAATATGTATGTATATAATGTATATATATATACATATACATATATATATATATATGTATATATATATTTCTTATTTTGGTTGTTCTTATTACTGTTAGGATTGCAATAATAATTACTATTATTACTATTACTATTGTATACATACATACATATAGTATGTCTTGTTTTCAGGGTATAGCATCTATATGGCTACATACAATATCATGTGGTTGTCAAACATATGGGACCCCCTTTCAAAAGGGGCCATCTAGCACAAATGACTCCCGTGGCACTGTTAGGAAAAGGTGTGTATGTCTATCTATATAGTTATTTATATATATATATATGACCATGTACATGCTATGCTATGGGTCATACGTATATATATATATATATACATAGTCATGGTATACTGTGTATATAGATGGTGTATAGATTGTGTATAATATATATATATATATGTATATCTGCATGTTGTATGGTGTCTTTTTACAGCACACATGAGGCCGTGTGTAGGATAAGCTGAGCAAAAGAGGGATTCCCCGAGAAAAGAAAGAAGAACAAAGAGAAGAGCTAACAACACAACAGATGACAACGTGACTGCCGGGCAACTGGGTCAAAACTCATCAAAGAGCGGCTCAAGTAACACCCTGTGCTTCCTCGACTATTCTTTAAATAGCCTCGACCATTTAAAAGACGAAAGGCTATAAAAGTAATGTCCCTCGACCATTAAAAGTAGGTCTAGACAAACTTGGCCAACTCGGACGGCTTCCTGACATCCCCACGCGCTTCTGTGCAGTGAGAGGTTGAAGAAATTTATTGCTGCCTTTTATGAAATAAGCTGAGTATGTTTTACAGTCGCTTCATCCCGTTGTAATCACATGCCGTCACCAGCATGCTGTGTCAATTTGGCTTGTCCCTCACATGCCCGTGCGTGTTTTTCCACTTCTTGTCCACAGCTCCACAGAGTCGTGTTGTTTGTTGATTGTTTAATCGATTTCGAAAGAAAATGAGGCGTGGACAAACCATGGACAAACCGTGGAAAGGACGTTTTTTAGCGTGGAAAGTACATTTAAAAGCGTGGAAAGTACGTTTAAAAGCGTGGACAACCATACCTGCAGCAGCCCACAACGCATGTTTGATCGGCAGCGATGCCCCGAAACCACTAAGTTTGCAGGGCTTTTTAAAAAGCCAGACTTCAGTACCAACATGCGAAGAATCTATGCACGCCTCTACAGTAGGCGGGACACCTGGCGATTTTTAAAAGTGATGCGACCACAAGCCGGGGAATGAGTGGCTTGGGTGCAGTCATTCGCAGCTGGGAGGATGAGGGCGGCGTGACTGACCCTAAGCAATTCTTGGGCAACAAAAACCATGACTTTTTTCGATGTTCAGGGCCAGGCGCAAAAAACGGTCTTTCGGCAAAAAACCGTCTAGCGACCTCGACCATTCTTTTAATGGCCTTTGGAAGCCTAGGGAACAGAAAGGTGTGGGTTCAGCCCCCAAGTGGAAAAACACATCTCTGCAAACGCCACAGCCCCCTAGTCACGGGTTCAAAGACTGGACATCAAACACTTCGGCCTGAGCTGTGGCCTCAGAAGGTCAAATTGAAGCGGCAGGAGGGTCTTCAAAAAGGCTGCCATCCAATTCGAAAGGCCCCAAACGTGCGGTTCCATGATCGGACAAAGGATGGTCCCCTGTAGCATTTGGGCCCTTTTGGCCGGCATTGAAAGGGAAACCGGGTACCCAAAAGGAGTACCCCCTCGCCACTTTCGCCGTAGAAAAAAAAAAAGGGCGCGCCGCCGCCCGAACCGTGGCCCCGTGGGCTCGCCGGGCTCGGCCCCATGTTCTTCGGCCAAGCGGCACGTGCCGGGCACCTGGAAACGGGGTCTCGAGAGCTTGGGTGAAACTTTATAGGGACGCGCATCCCAAAAAGAGCATGGGTGAACACATTTCATGAACATGGAATGAGCTCGAACAGATGAATTTTGAAAGGGAGTGGGAAACATAACTTCATGAACATGTCACTTAGGTTGGATTTACTCTTCTGAAAGATGGACCCCACCAAAACATCCCACAACAGGACAACCCCCTCACATTCCAAACATCCTTGTGGTTTTCTCAGTACAAGCGGTGCTTTTCAGACCCCAGAGACCCCGGTTTCGCTTCGAGCCGCGATGGCGCGCCCAGCGAAGAGCCGGCTCTGCTGCTCCATGGAGAAGGACACCTCGGTGTCCACCTGGGAATTTGATGCAAGTGCCCCTGAAACAAGCGCCAAAAGCGGGGTAGCCCTCCCACCAATTGACAGGACAGGGAGTCCCTTTAAAAGGAACATGGTCTTCCAGGACTCTGTCAGGTTGCATGTCAATTGGGAGGGTAGAACTAGGGGTGGATTCCTCTTCCCATTCTTTTCAACCATCGTTCTTTTCTTAAAAACCGATCGCCGTGAGCCCATTTCCGGAGGCTTTCTAGGGAACGTCACGTCTCGCCCCGCCTGGCGGTCTGACGTCTAAACATCCCCTGACAAGGACACAAGACCCTCAACAAAGCACGCCCTACGGGCGCTTTCCCAGATGTCTCTGTTTGCAGCTAGCCGCAACATGCGGGGTCCTTGTGCCTGTGCTTTCAAACCAAGAAACCCCCGTCGGGTGAATTTTGAAAGCTAACCAGCTCAAAAGTGGCTGGTCATGGAACAACCCCAACAAGTAGGTCTGGCCTTTTGTAGAGTTTCCCTTTTAGGGTTGGTTTAAAGGGACACCCAAAAGAACACCCACCCATTGTGGGGTACCCTTATTTTGAGACACATGCAAGAATTCAATCGTTTTGAGACAAGGTCACAGGAGAGGCAGAGAAAGGCCCTCGAGTTGTTTGATCAATCATCAAACCCGACAGCAGTGCCCCTGACCATCCGCCCTACAACCAGCTTAGTAAGGCCTTATTTCCACAAGTCTTGTGGTGCCCTCGTTTTGATGGCCTCCGCTTCCTTGACACAGCCCAACCCCACATATCGACCTCCCGTACCAGTGCTTTCGCCCCCTTTGGTCACTGAGCTGGCAACTCAAAGGCCCTTCAGCCCCACAACTAGCTGCCGGGCTTTTGTTGGGTCTTTGGGGTGATAAGATTCTTGTCAAATTACTTCTACCCTGTTGTTTGTCCTCGGACAAACTGGTCCGAATTGAATTTGCAACTCTTTCGGGTTGGTTTATACTATTAAAAACGGCTCGCCCAAGGAACCGGCAAGTGGGTAAAACATGATCAAGTGTAGGGTGAAACATTGAATCATCACCAACCTGAAATAAGTGACACCTAAAAAGAAGCCCTAGCGAACACCCTGAATCCTTCCATGCGATACACATTTTTGGACAAACGAACCAGCGGGGATACGGAGGGAGCGGGGATATGGTGGGATTCCCTTGGCGCCATTTCCCATAAACTTAGTCCAGGTGCATCCAACGGGGGAATCCTCCCGTATCCAACTGGCTGGTTTCCCTAACATTTGCACCAGATGCCCGACCCACGCACTATGGGACCAGGCTTCGCCAGCCGAGGCGCCGCTCCGGTATCCCACTTCGCTTGCAGCTCCGCTGACCTCGGCAGATCTGAATCTGAAAAAGCTGAATACATCCAACACCCACCTGAGTCACAATCCAAGCCCGGTATTAAAACGGTTGACCCGGAACCATGGAAGGAAATGCCGCCAGGCGGCCGCTGCTGGTGTGTGTCCCTTATTTACCTTCATCTACCCGGGTTTTGATTGTGGCTCACCTGCTAAGGGACTCGACTCTAGGATCCTCTACATCAGCTGGAAGGGTGAACTGTTTCGCTGGCCGAAATACGAAATCCAAATCGAGGGGCAAGCTCCTTACAGTTCTGAGTCCCACGGTTTCTGTCCGAAACTTGATGAGTCCACCCATGTTCCTTCCCAATGGATCATGGACTACTGCAAGTTTTGAGCAAACCTCGCGTCTATGCGAAATCCTTAAGCAAGTGGGGCCCATTTTTGCCCTGTTCGGTCAGATCGTGAAGATCGGCGCTGACAAAACTTCTTGCTCCGATTCATCGTCGCAACACTCATCACCCTGGTCACACTAAACAGCCGCCATCCGCGTCTCAGCCGTGCTGCCCAGCCGGAGATCCTTCTTTCCCCAAACATTGGTGGCCAGTGGTGCCTTTAGGTGCACCTAAAAAATACCATGTCCGTCGCCGATGTGCCGTGCGGCTCGTCTTGCAAAAACCTCATCGGATGCTTCCAGCGTACTCAGGGCCTGTAAGGAATCCTTACATTATACACCTGAACATTGCCTTGATGGCGGTGTCCTTTTTATTTTGGTGGAAAAAACATGTTTCAAATGGGCAACATGTATCTTTTAAGGAGCCCTGTGTAGTTGTAGTTGCACACGATGTTGGCTACGCCTGCGGGCATTGCTCCGAGCAAAACGCTCCGAAGCTGTCCCAACTTGACTTGAGTCTTCGTTTAACGACTTTGAACTGTGGTTCTAGGATAAATCCTACTTGAGGCACGTATTCACAGAGGCTCTTAACCATTTACTTTCCCAAATTAAATGGTCACAGGGTTTCTTACTCTTGTCCCCTTTTAACATCACCCTACCAAAGCAAACTCGAGAACCACTGGCCTTTCCAAAAGGGATGGATGGATGTTTAGTTTAACCCAGAAAGGGACATCGCGCTAACTTTCGTGCTGCCACACATCGAACGCACCACTCCACATGATCCTCCCCAAAGCTTCCTAAACCCAAACATCCAGTGGCGTTGAGAAAAAAAGGCAGCCTTTGCTGGCAACTCGTTCTCAAGGACACCCCCCTCCCAAAAAAACAGGAGAACAAACATGCCCCTGGAGGTCTTGGCTGAGACGTCAGGGCACTTCAGGCCTGCTTCGCGCCGGTTCTCCATTGTCTAAGATGGCTACTACCCCAACCCCACTGCCGCCCCAACCAAAAAACGGTGCCCCCCATACAATATGACTATCTATGGATCGTCGAGTGGCTGTATCTCCAAAGACCGGGGCAGAGCTCATTCCCTCTTGAGAACCAGAAAGCCATTTAGGTGGGGAGAAACGGTTGTAAACTATTGTGCTCATAGACCTCAGATTCAAGAAAGACTGTGTCTACAAATTATGAAGGACCACCGGCTATGAAGGGGTTTCCCATTCTAAATTCATTCCCTGTTGAGAACCAGCAAGCCATTTAGGTGGGGAGAAAAGGTCCACCAGCTTTGAAGGGGTTTCCCATTCTAAATTCATAGCCTTTCTTTACCCCCCCCCCCCCGCCCTTAAAAAGGCGCCGCGCGGCACTGCGTCCCCATGGACAAGGCTGGACCACAGCTGGCGCCTGAGCTGCAACCGCTGCTCCTGGGACATGTCTCGCGGGTCCCATTGTGCCCCTTGGTTGACGTTGGAAGGGGAGCAAACAATGAAGTTTTAGCAGTTAAGTGGTTGGATTTCAACCACTCAACCACAAAAAGCAAAAATGTAAAATGTTTCCCAACAACAACCAGGCCCCCCCCCCCCCCCCCGCCCCAAACAAAAACAACGACCCCTTGTGGGTGTGGCTTTGTTGGGATTGCCCATGTGGGTCTTCTTTTGACACAGGCCTTACTCGCTCTTGGCTATTCGGATTGCGGCCCCCTTGACCGAAGGAAATTCTCCGATTCGGATAAGAAAGCAACAAGCGCCACGGTCCGATTCGCGAATGAAGAAGGTCAACTGGTATGGGCACACCAGGCTAGTATATTTGCATTCCTTGTGTACATGATGCAGAATCCATATACAGCACATGTATATACGAGCGCACGTATGTGTTCAATGATATAAGTGTATGTATCATGTCTAAAAAATGGTTTGCTGGACATACCCTTGAAAGCCTAGGCCAGCACACAGCTAGGCAGTACCAATGGCCCATCTAGCATTGCACTTGCTTTCCAGCATATCCTGAGTTGTTTCAAAGGGACGCCCAAGGGGAGCCACCTTTGTCCTGCTCTTTCCAGACCCTGCGCCCGGTCCTTGTGGAAAATGACCCTAACATTTCCAGGTGTATCTTACAATAGACCCCCCAAATTGGGTTTCTCTTCCAAACCACTTTGGGGTATTTAATGCTCATAGATGATTGCTTAAAGCCAATTATACTCTTCCACCAAGTGCGGCACTCTTTGAGCACTCTTTCAGTATTGTCCAAGGGTGATTCCACGGGGCAGGAGTCTGAAACAAACCAAAGACTTGGTGTGATACCAAAGTGGTTGATTCCCATGCCAATGACTGCAGAACATCACTTCAACGCAGAATGGTATCAAACTGAGCGGCGGCAACCAAGACTCGACCCAAATCATTCGAACCGGTTTGGCATTTGTAGATTGTAGAGGAGAGACCAGAAAAGAGGTATCTTCACACCAACCACATAGGAAACCACCATACCGAAACCATAAGGAAACCACCCCCCCCTTTGAAATCCAACAAGGTCACCCTGTTTATGGGCTCCCCGCCCCCTCCATTTTGCCACGACCCATCTCACCAAGTCCCATTCGCTCGCCCATTGTCCGGTTTTTGTCCGTTCTCCTTGTAGTCCAGGAAGAGCTCGCGCCAGGCCTGGTGCTCTGCACTCAAGGGCTCCGGTCTCCTGACGGATGTGTCAGCTTCCCCTTTATAAAGGTGGTTTCCCGTTTACCCTGAAAACCGGGGGTTCAGATCTCCAAAGGGGAAATGGTAGGCAAATGACCACATCTCCCAACGATAAGTAATGCAAGGTGAACCGCATCCTTGGCAATAACTGCTGCTGATTTTGGATAAGGGAGTATCTCCAAAATCAAGTGTCATTGTAAGTTTGTTCTGTCGGGGGCGGGGGGGGGGGGGACCGGACAAAATCCCAAAGTATGCTGCCTAACAATCTTGATAACTGGGTCTAGTCATCTCCAAAGGGACGGAAATCATGATGGTGTATCGCCCGCAGGCATGACTTAGTGATGCTTAACTATTCAGGCTATTGCAATACATGTCTTTTGAAGCTCTGTTCTTGATGGGGCTTTTTGTGCGCAAAGGGCTTTGAATCATGCTCGACACCTGGTATCAAGGGAGTCTACCTAAACCCAAGCAAAGATGTTGTAACTACTGTGAGGAAAGACCCAAGACAGGAACAAATTCATCTTATGTTTCTGGTGGCAAGCCCCAACATCTTCGGTCGCACTTGTAAAATCCCTGAGCTGTCCTCAGATCCCCCACTAAAAGTTTAACTTTTAGTGGGCTAAATGGAAAACCCCACTAAACACTAAAAGGCTAAAAAGCTAATTAAGGAACCGGATGGCTGGGAGCCACCAAGTAAAATTAGCCGTTCATGCCTGCTTTGTTTTTGGCAATCGGGTCGGGAAATAAAGCGTCGGTCTCCTCCAGGTGCGGCACATACCGTTGGGGAACTCCCACCGGGGATTGTCCTCAGATGCGAAAGCTCAATGGAGGGGGGGGCAATATGTGGGTCAAAGAAAAAATCCCAAAATGGAAGCCTGGCAAATGGAAAAATGGACTACACCCTGCGGTCCCTAGTGAATTCATTTTGACCCATACCCATATCAAGAGGTGATCTGTTTCTTTCACCCAAAAAGGGCGATACGGTTCTGTCTTAAAATGGGGGGAACCTCCAAAATGCGTGGTTTCCTCATGGTTTCGCCTAAAACCACCCCAAAAAAGGGTTACCCTCCAAAAAGAAAACAGCCTTACAGGGGACCCAAACCCAGCCACCCGTATACCAAACCCATCTTTACAAAGAACCCGAAGCTCTGCCTCTCCCGTTCTAAACTGGGTCCTCCAATAGAGAGCTTAGAATAAGGGTACCGACTTTTTTCTGTAGTCTATTTTAGTAGGGGAACCCTCCCCCCAAAAAAGGGGAGAGAAGGGCACTGCTGGGGTACCCAGCAAAGGGCCCGAAGCTCTGCATATCTCCCGTTCTAAAGGCAGGGCGCCGGGTCCCCTTTGAAGCGCGTGCCCCGCAGCTCCCACTCCGACTCCCCCCGCAAAATGGGCCAAACGCCCGTGCCGTCGCCAAAGTCCTGGGGCACGGCGGGTTTTGTCGACAGTTGGCCATGGGGCAAAATCCCGGTTACCCCCCCAGTGAACATCCCAATCCCCACTAAAATAGACTAAAGTGGGGTGGTGCACCTACCCCAGAATGGTACCATTGGTTTTGACCCACAGCCATTTCCCAAGTCAGGAGCGAAGGTGGCTGGCTCCCCTTGCGTTTCCCTTTGAAGCAACTCAGGATATCCTGAAAAGCAGGTGCAATGCTAGATGGGTCATTGGTATTGGTAACAATGGCCCCGAGCTGCTTGCCTAGCTCTGTGCGGGCCTAGGCTTTCAAGGGTAAGTCCAGCAAACCATGTTTAGACATAATACACATATTTCATTGAGCACCTGCGTGCGCTTGTATATACTTGTGCTGTGTATGGATTCTGCATCATGTACACAATCAATGCAATTATAATAGGCTTGTGCAAGGGTACCAACCCAGAAAATTCCACCTGCCCCATACTAGGGAAATACAAGGACTCAGACAAAGAGCAGCCACGCCCCGCGAGCAAATCTCTAAAACTCCTCCTACCACTCCCCCAAACACGCCTGTCTTTGGGCCCAAGGGGGGTACGCTGGGTCCCAGGGGTTGGCTTGGAAGAATGCGAACAAACAAACATACCAAGAAATCCAAGACACGACCTCGCTGCCGTGCACATTGATGCTCAAGCCCACGTCGTCCTCCCAGCTGCCCTGGAGGCTCTGGAGGAACTCCTCCTGCCGGGTTTTTAGGTTGTGGGCCCCCAAAAAAGTGCTTTGTGTCTCGGGTGGTGTCTTGTCTTCCTGGTGTGATAGGCAGGGAATGAGAAATGAAATGACCCCTTTTACAGCATCCAACTGGTGGTTCCTTGAAGGGAATCCCTTGGTTCATTCCCTTATTCCCTGCTGAGCACCGGCAAGTTGTTTCTTGTTGCTGGGAACGAGGTCACTGCCCCTTGGGTAGATGCAGAAAACAAATGGTTTAGCTTGGACAAAAGGATAACCTGTTGGGTTGCCTTGAGTGCAAGTAGATACACAGGCAGGCAACGTGTTTTGCCCAAACATTGGATACCTTTCTGTTGTTTGCAACTTGTATGAACATTTGGCCATGGAAGCCTTCTCTGGAATGCGCTCAAACGTTCACATGCATATCCTCAACGTGCAACAAGTGATCTACTATCACAGCATTGTCGGAATCACTGGCCCCGTTGCTTGCTAAAGCAAGAGAGACTCCAGCTAGCAAGCCAGCTTGCGAGAGAAGTTGCTAGATTCAGAGAAGGGGCGTGCCGAAGAGAAATGGCCATCATGTCCGACCTGGCAATTGCTTCCAGCAGGGCTCTCACACGTCTGCAACTAGTCTCATTGACCATTTGAAAGCATAGCCTACCAACAAGAACACAATTCCAAACCCTTCAAAGAAAAAGGAAAGGAAGCCTGTACACTTCCACGATGTTTATTGTTAAAAGGGTACATGGAATTGGACGACCATCCTGAAACCAGAAACGACACCTATGGCGCGTGCATGGCATGCATCCAAGGAGTCAAAAGCTGGATTTTGGGAGAGAAGAAGAGCCTCGAAACCAACAACTGCACTTTGCAAAACAAACACTCATTTTGCTGCAGTCAACAACCTACCCTCAGGGTCCTGATGAATCAATAACTCCTGCGACCCCTCAAAAAAAATACATCAAGCCCCATGGCTCCAATCTCTGGCCCGTCCTGCTCACCATCCTGGGCTCTCCGCCTGATTTGCGGTGCTCGCCTCACCACCAGCGCTCCCAGCGCCAGCACGCCCGCGGGCCCCGCGCGCCCGGGACGCCACGGCGCATGGCACGGCGACGCCAAAGGACGCAGCGGCGATGGCGGTGGCCGCGGTGAGTGCGCGGGTCGCGTCGGCGCCCGTAGCGGCGCCAGAAACTCCATGGTGGGCGGACATGAAGATTGCCAAGGATTTGAGTGATCACTCAAACCCTGGACTTGAACTAAGGCTTGTGGACTGCTCAAATCTCAAATCAGGCGGGAGCAAACAGTGATGGTGTTCAGTGAGAAGCCTCGGAACGCACAGGATAATGTCTTGCTCTGACTCCCAGAAGCTCAGTCCAGGGTCAGGCTGGTTCTTCCGCCCACTTTTCGTTGCGGGGCTTGGCCCACTGTGGGTGGACAAAATCCTGCACCACCACTGTTTGTTGGTATTTACAGGGGAATCATCCTTCCAGGGTCTCTGAGGTGGTGCAGGATTTCGTCCATCCACAGTATTTCAAGGAAGCACATGCAGCATCAACGGCTTTCCGGAGCCGGACCAGCTACGGCGCCATGTCACTGAGACCTCTCGAGCTCGAGAACCAAAAGGAGCAAGAAGGACCGACCCATCCAACGCTTGCTTTGGGTTCATCAGCGCCTTAGTTTTGCTTTGGAGTCGGCGTGTGGACTCTTCTCCGAAACCCATTTCCCGCCGTTTGGGGACGGGGGGGGGACTTCTATGAAAATAAGGCGAAAGTAAGGCCCTAAGAGTCGAAATCTTGGAGATTGCAGTGTCCTTGATTGAGCCTCTTGCATTTCGGGAGCCCCTGCACTTCCATGGCTTACCGCGGCCGCCTCACCCACCGAGGTCGCAAAGCTTCGCCAAGCGTTCTCCTCGCTGACTCGATCGTCTCTTTGCAGGTTGTGGTACCATGGCCCCATGGCCCTTAAGGAGGAGTGTATCTCCCCCTGCGTGTGCGTGTGTGTGTGTGTGATGTGTTTCTTTGCTTGCTTGCTTGCTTGCTTGCTTGTCTGTTCGATCGTTTGCTTGTTTGCTGGTATGTTGGTGCGACTGTTTGTTTGATTGCTTGCATGTTTCCTGGTTTTTGTTGACTATCTGTTTCTGTGTCTATGAATGCACGTGTGCAATTACATCGTCATGTAATGTTGGTGTTGTTGTCTTTATTTGTCTATGCGTCACGAGTGTGTTCTTTTTCAGCCCATATCCATTGATGCAGATACTTCCTGACTTTTTGTTTATTGTTTCCAATGTCTGTCAGATCTACGGGTGTGTGTGTGTGTGCTTCCTTATGAACTTTCACTATGCCGTTCGTTCCTTATTTCTTTGTATACGTTGTGCATTAGATCGTCTTTATTCATGTCCGTCTTGATGTATTTTGCTATGTCCAGGTTGTTTTTTGTGTTTGTCATTTTATATATTTCCTTGCCCCTTGCTTATTTGATTGATTGTCTGCTAGCCTGCTTGCCTGTTTGTTTGCGTGTTTGTTGGTGTGGTTGTTCAATTGTTTAATTTGTTGAATTTGTTTGTTTGCTTGCTAGCTTGCTTGAGTGGTTGTGTTTGAGTGCTTGTGGGTATGGCTGCTTGTTCGTTGGTTGGTTTCATTGTTGTGGTAAGTTATGTTATGCTATGTTATGATATGCGTTGGTTTGGTTTGGTTTGGCTTGGCTTGGCTTGGCTTGGCTTGGCTTGGTTTGGATTGATTTGGTTTGGCGTGCTTGCTTGCTTGTGTGTTTGTTTGTTTGTTTGTTTGTTTGTTTGTTTGTTTGTTTGTTTGTTTGTTTGTTTCTTCTTTGTTTTGTGTGTGTGTGTGTGTTTGTTTGCTTGTCTGTCTTTGTCAGTGTGATTGCTTATTTTTGCGGTTGTTTGTTTGTTGTTTTTGTTTGTTCGTTCGTTTGTTCGTGCGTGCGTGCGTGTGTTCGATGGTTTGTTGTTTGTTTGTTTGCTTGTTTGCTTGCTTGATTGTTTGTTTGGCTTGGCTTGTTTGTTTGGCTTGCTTGCTTGCTTGCTTGCTTGCATGCTTGCTTGCTTGTTTGTGTGTTTGTGTTTGTTTGTGTGTTTGTCTGTCTGTCTGTGGGTTTACGGCCTCATCAAGCCTCGTGCCCGCACTGTCGTATCGATTGCCAACAGCATGTTCTGCAGCAAATCGGGATGTGTGTGAGAGCGCTGCTGCGGGGGGTCAGCAGCCACTTTCCTAGTTGCTTTTGGAAACCCGTTGTGTGGGAAGGGGAGACTGTTACACTGTTTCTCCAACCCCAAATCTGTATTGTGGTTGTCGGTTGTTGGGCCAAAAGACAGGCCGTTGGAAAAGACTGGATCCCCCCTATCCGAAAACGAGGGCAGACAAACACCTGAAGGTCTGGGGAGAAGAGTTCCAATCGTTTGACCGCAAAGAGATGCAGGGAATGAGCAATGGAATGAAACAAAAAAACATCCATCAAAAAAAACAACAAGAAAACAAAACATCCATCAAAAAAAAAAGAAACCCAACCCTCCAATCTGTGGTCGCCTTTCGGGAATCCCCAAAAGCCGGTTCCTTCCCACCCGGACTTGTCATTCTCGTCCTCGGACTCCACCCACTCGGCGGCATCCAGGCGCACGCTGCGCTGCATGGGCTCTGCGGCCTGGAGCCGCAGAAGGGGAAGAAAAAACGGGGACCGGTTCCATTTGCTTCAGGCCACCGGAAAAATGAACACGAAAATCCGGTAGGGATAGATTCCCAGAACCAGAGAACATAACATAAAATCCAGTGGTGACATCGATTCCCTGAAACCCGGGGAAAATGAAAAACATGGTCTTAAGCAAAAATCAGACAAGGTCCCTGAACCGGGGCGACCGATCCGTAGGGAAACCACACAAAAAAAGATTTGACTTTCTTTCACATGGGAGAAGTTACCCATGGTCATACTTCCTGTTGGTTTCCTAAGCCAAGCCCATCAGAGGCCTTCCTGTTGGTTTCCTTTTTCAAGCAACCTCAACAAGGCCTTCTTTTTCCGATTTGGCGTCCGGTCCAAGCAACCGCAAAAAGCCTCACTTCACGAGTGGGCTGGTCACAACAAGTTTCAACTTGTTATTTACCACCAACACGTTCTTTCCAAGAAGTGTAACGTCCGCGAACTCAGGAAGTGAGCAAAATGGGGAACTCAAGATGCTTGGCTTCTGTTTGGTGTCCTTTTGAACCCATGAGAAAGTGCGGCCGCGGCCACTATTTTGAGAAACCCCTGTCGGTTTGTATTGGGGGGGGAAATCTGGGTTGACCCTCTGAATCAAAACAAAGGATGAACTGGAAACATCGGAAAAAGTACCTAGGCATCATACAGGAGCTTCCCTTGGACAATTGTTTCAAGTAAACCACGATTCTTACAGGGACCTCTTTTGGCAACTGGTCACTGCTAGATTCCGGGAGCATTGGACCAGTTGGATGGGTCCGAATTGAGCGGCTTTGCCTCGGATCAAAACCTGTTGGAACCGTCCTTTTCCATTTGCGGATACGTCCCCTGGAAAAATGGATAACATATGTCCAGTGATAAATTCGCGAGAAAACCAGGGTTTCTGTAAGGGTTGTTGCAACCAGGGTTTCCATTTCCCTAAAACCAGTGATGAATTCCCTAAATTCCCTAAAACATATTCTTCTGGAAATCAAATGGAGATGCTCCGCCTCTTTTCGCTTCATTCAGGACTTCTACTATGGTGCTAAACAGGCGAGAACAACGAGGAACACAACAAGTAATCAAACCCCCTTTGGGGTTCCTTTTGGAATGTGTTTGACTACGTAAGGTGTTGATACACTTTGTCCATCTTCCAATTTGTGCTCAAAGGTCCAACAATCCCGTGAAAACAGAAAGCATATGCAAGGTTGCGGCCCGTTTTGGTATCCCAGTAGCCCCTTTTCCAAACGCGGCAAAAGGCGGCACCCAGCATCCGAAATGGGGCTATATGCTGGACAACCAGCCATATCTTGCCGCGTGCAGCAGCACCGTCGGGGTAATGACCACTTCATTCTTGTGGTCGGTCGCTGAATTTGAGTTGAAGCTGGCAATCTGCATGTTAAGACGCCTTTCTTCCTTCTTTGGGGAGGGCTAAGCCAGTATACACACACCACATACTGCTTGTATATCCGATTGTGGGGGTAGTCATTTTGGGGCGAGGATCCAAGACACCCCACAATTGATGGGGACCCCGCAAAAGATCTGGGAGTGTGATTCACCAGTTTAAGTTGTTGGCTGGAAAGTTGGAATGGCCAACTGAAGCATCGGACTGGCGGTTTTTGAGGGGATCCCAAAGGTTTCAACCTGAGAACCTGCAAGCTTTAAGAGCAAACCAGAAGGAAACCCTACCATTTTGGGGGGTCCCCAAAGCAATCACACCCAAGGGACCCAAGAAAGCACAGCTCACCTGGGAAGTCGCAGCTGGCACGGCGGGCCTGAGTCCGACAGAGGTGTTCTCCATGGTGGGAAAACGACACGTGTGAAACCTATATGGGTGGCTCGTCTTTTTTGTTGGAGGGAAGCCAAAAGGACAACCATGATAGTTGGGGGGGTCTACAAAAAGGCACATCCGTGAGGGTCATTCTTTTGACTGCCTCACTTCCTTACGGAAAGCACGCGGCCCGAACTCCAATTCCATGGGTTGCTTCTTGAGGGCTTCAAGAAACCTAGGACCATCCTCTTGGCCTTTTCTTTGAGGTTGGTTTTTTTGCAAGAAACACACAAGCGCCACATTGGTGTATATATATATATATACACCCCCCCCGATGGATCTACCTTCTTGCTGTTTGAAGGGTTTTTGGAGATGGACTGCAATTGTTTTTGTTTGCCCCATGCGACTTGACCAGCATCAGCTCACTTCAAGCAAGGAGATCCTCTTCAAAATTTAACTTGGAGTAACAATTCAATTTATGTGTTTGTTGTTGAAGGAAATCCTTTTTTAAATAGTTGTAAAAAGAGGTTCTACTATATCCCTGGAAAGGACGTTCTCTTTTCAAAATGTTTTGAAGTAAGAATCCCAATTAACACTGTTCTTCAAAATGGAAATCCTATTAAATTCATCTTTAAGTCTAGAAATTGTATTAGATGTTTCTAATTTTAATTCGATTTCAGGCCCAATTAGAAAATTGAAGAAATCATGATGGAAAAAGACATCCTTTTGAGCATCTGCTTTAAGAATTCCAATCATTGAACACCTTTAACAAAAGCACACACGCACTATGTAAGTTCTCTTTTAAAACTAGACATTCCATAAGAATTATGAACTTATTAAATTCTATTGAACCTATGCGAACAAATCGACCCGATTGAACATCTAGGTTCAAATATGTTTTTTGGCTACACATCTAGTTCGATAAAGGATTCCTGTTGAAATTCTCTTAAAACGAGAAACTCTACTAGGGTGTTTTCCTTGAGAAACTCCATGTCAATTCCAATGAGAAAACTGAACAAACACAATGATAGAAACAGATCCCCCTGTAACGTCATTTTTCAATTCTATTTTGAGACAAGAGAACTAGTTGAATTTGATTTTGAATATCTCTCTTGAGTTCCAATAACAAAGCACTAAGCAAGCAAAAAAAGTGTTTATTTCAATACAAAAGCATGTTTCGGATGAAATTCATTGAGCAAACAACTGCGAAAAGTAATGTCGGGTTCCTATAAACGTGAGTCAGTAAACTCCAAACCTTGCACCTGTCCATTCTCGGCTGAGGTTTTGTCAGAAATGCAGAACAGCAGCTCTGTGCTCTGTTGGAAAGGTCACGATATATATGTATATATATGTATACCCAGAAAATGGAGCCAATAGCCTGGAAGTAGAAGCGTGAAGTTCTGGAGCGAATGACCCCGAAGTACAACAATCTAAAAGTGTGCAGCTAATTACCCAAGAGCGAAACAAGTAAACTTCTGGAGCCAGAGACTCAAAAGTAAAAAAGTAAAGGAGTAAAAGTAATGTCTGGAGCCAAGGAAAGTAAGAAAGTAAAAACAAAAAAGTAGAAACGCAAAAGAAAAAAGTAAAAGCAACCATAAAACAAGTTGAAAGTGTCGAGTAAAACATAAAAAGTAAGACAAACCCGCCCATGGTCCTGAAGTAAAATTCTTTGACCATGGGTGAAATAGTTTTCGTTTTACCTTGTACTTGTTTGTTTGTTTTTTTCTTTTCCTTTTTGTTGCTTTTGTTCTGTTTACTGTTACGTTTCTATTTGTGTGTTTTTACTTTCCTTGGCTCCAGTCATTACTTTTACTTGTTTACTTCTTTACTTTTGGGTCTCTGGCTTCTTGCATTGTCCGGATCCGCTGCGAGGCAAGCCCAAAACTGGGAGTGGATCATGCGGCCCACCAGAGCATTTGTCTGCCTCTGAGAAGCCAAGAGCCAGATCCGTGCTGTCAGAAGGGGCAGCAAACGCAGGAGCTGGGCTCAAAAGGCTTGAAAAAAAAGCTCCCTGGGTCCCTGCGTCAGAGTCTGCTCAGAGTGGCGTCGTTGGCCGCCATCGCAGATCATGGCGGACAAGTTGCAGAGGAGTAGCAGAGGGCAGAGGAGCAAAAGAAGGCTACCAGAGGTGGCTAGCAGTTAACTCAACTACAGGTACTACTACAAGTAGCGCTACAAGTACTGCAAGCACTATGAGTTACTACTACAAGTACTACCAGTACTGCTACAAGTACTAAAAGTACCAGTACACGAACAAGTGCTAGAAGCAGTACTACAAGTACTACTACAAGTACTACTACAAGTGCTACAAGTACTAGAGCAGCACTACATGTACTACAAGTACTACTACCCACGAGGCTACTCGGCAAGGTTGCCAAAGTCTTGTCCGGCCAAGGATGCAAGCTCTACGTCACAATCGCTGGACTCTTCCTCGGAGTCGCTCTTTGAGCTGAGGAAAACCTGCTGGCCCTCCTCCTGCGTCACCGGGAGCCAGTCGGTGCGTCGAGTGGGGCCCAGCAGGGCCACGTAAGGCGCCCGCCTCACTCGAGATGTTGCCACATAGGCGTAGCCGCGGTCAGGCTGTTTCCGGTCAAAATGCAGCACAGCAAAGTCCAGAGTCGCTTTTTGAGCGCGCCGAATTGTCAGGGCGGAGCCGTAGACACAAGGCAAAAACGGCCCCTGCTGCCCGTGCACAGGGTGCACAAAAATGCGCATGTTCTCGTCGGTGACAAGAACAAAGACATCCTTGCGGAGCACCAGCTCTACTGTCCCCAAAGCTCCGTTCACAAAGCCGCGCTCTTTGTCCAGATTGCGGGTGAGTCGGACCCGCATGCCAGGCTCGATCTTATTTTTCGCTCGCAAAGCCAACAAGACCCTCCGGTAAGAACAGATACTACACATGATCATAGCTCAATTGGCTGTGACCTGAATCCAAAACTCCAAACAAACTATGCCAAGCTCATGCATGGAAAACCTATGACAAAGATAGTACGTGAAGGCGTACTACAAGTCCTACTACACGTGGTACAAATACTTGAAGCAGTAACACAAGTGATGCTACGAGTACCACAAGTACTACTGCGATACTTCAAGTACTAGAAGCAGTGCTACAATTACGACAAGCAGTTCTACAAGTACTAGAAGCAGTGCTACAAGTACTGCTACAAGCGCTACAAGTACTTGAAGCAAAACTACGAGTACTACTACGAGTACTACAAGTAATAGAAACCGTACGACAAGTACTAGAAGCAGTGCTAAAAGTATACTGCTACAAGCACTACAAGTCCTTGAAGCAGTACTACGAGTACTACAAATCCTACAGGTATTGGTACGAGTACTACAAGTACTAGAAGCAGTACGACAAGTCCTGCTACATACGCTACAAGTACTGGAGGCAGTACTACATGTACTACAAGTACTACTACTTTGAGTACTGCAAGTACTCCAAGTACTACAAGTATTGCACAAGTACTACAAGTGCTAGAATCAGTACTACAAGTATTAGAAGCAATGCTACAATTACTACACGCAGTGCTACAAGTACGACAAGTACTACAAGTACTGTCACAAGCACTACAAGTACTTGAAGCAGTACTACGAGTACTACTACAAATCCTACAGGTACTACTACGAGTACTACAAGCACTAGAAGCAGTTCGCCGACAAGTACTCTAGAAGCACTACTACGAGTACTACTACAAGTATACTACAAGTACGAGAAGCAGAAGTACTCTAGAAGCAGTACTACAAATACTACTACAAGTACTACAAGTACTAGACAAGTAGTAGAAGCAGTACACCTACTACAACAAGTACTACAAGTACTACTACAAGCATTACTTTACTGATATGAAGTTGGCATTACTATTTTACGTGTTTACTGTTTTATTGTTCTGCTATGTTACTTTTACTTTTTTGCTTTTGGGTCATTGGCTCCAGAAATTTACTTTCTTTACATGTTGTTGTTGTTGTTGTTTGCACTTTTTTACTTCTTTACTTTTGTGTCATTGGCTCCAAAATGCTACTTGTTTACGTTATCATGTTTGGGCCAATGGCTCCAACATAGCGGTGGTTTTCCATCTTCTGACAAAACCTCAGCTTAGGAATAGGACAGAGGTAGATCCAAACCGACTAGATTCAAGATTCCCTGGAAAAGTTAAACCTAAAGCTTTCAGATTGTCTTTGGAAATGCGCCTTTCTTTGCTGCCTTACCCAAAGCCCCAAAAAAGGCACAAAACACTGCACATACATGTGAATTCTCAAGGAAGGTAGATCCATGGGTGGGGGTACCACATATATATATATATATATATATATATCTATATATATATATATGTGTTTAACAGCTTTCCCTTAAGTCTATCGATTCGGCAGACCCTGATATTACAAGGCCCTCATATGCGCTCCTACTTGTGGGGGTTCACTGTGGGTTAAAACAAAGACCAACCTCTCAAGTAATGTTCCTTCATAACCCAGTTGTTCCCTCCAAATGCGATGAAACTAGGCGATGCCATCAACCCATCCATTTTATGCAGCAATATGTTCCCTCTGTTCCCTCCAAATGCGATGAACCCAACGCCCCAACCAACCAGGGGTGGTGCCCAGTTCCCTGTTCGTGACCTGTGTCCGCTTCCAAGACCAGCCATGTCGCCTGGCTTTATGGCATCCCCTTTGGGGGTGGTATACTACTCACACTAAAAGGGGACACACACACACACACACACACCCACCGGGGGGACCTTCCGGGCATGCTTCCCAATGACGGGCTCCCGGCTCATGCGTCGAATTCGGGGCTCCAATTTCGTCGAAGTCGACTCGGGCCCTCCGGCAGCGAGGGCGTGGAGCTCTCCGTGAGCCCTGAGGTGAACCTCTCCAAGTCCCCGTCCTGCCGCATGGACTCGACTGCCTTTTTCCCATCAGAAACCAAAAGAGTGGCCCTAAAACCACCTGTGATGCCACCCCTGCCCCTTCCCCCCCCATAAAAAAGGGAAGAAGTAATTATCTGAAAACCACCATACGGATGTTCCGTAGAGAACCTTGTCAAACAGATTGTAACAGTGCTTCTGGGCAGCGTTGCTGGTACTATAAATATATAGATACATGTGCGTGTATGCGTTATATATAGATATATGTATGTATATATGTATTATATTCACCCTGAAATCATCTAACACCCCTTTCAAATGTATTATTCACACACCTTTGAAACAAGCTGCGGAATACCCATATCTCATTGAAACTAACAAGTGGCTGTCTGTTTGTTTGTTTGTTTGTTTCTTTGTTTGATTGATGGTTTTCTTTGTTTTGTTTGTTTGCTGTTTGTTTGTTTGTTTGTTTGTTTGTTTGTTCGTTCGTTTGTTTGTTTGTTTGTGTGTGTGTGTTTGTGTTTGGAGGGTACCCTTTTCACCTGAACAACCACAATTTCTTGGTTGGATCCCTTTTTCACCACATCCCCGTTTTGATCAACCAAACAAACAAACAAACAAACAAACAAACAAACAAACAAACAAACAAACAAACAAACAAACAACCAAACAAACAAACAAACACACAAACAAACAAACAAACACACAAACAAACAAACAAACACACAAACAAACAAACAAACAAACAAACGAGCAAACAAACGAAACCAAACAAAACAAACAAATAAAGCAAACAAAACAACAAAACAACAAGCAAGCAAGCAAACAAAAACAAACAAACAAACAAACAAACAAACAAAAGAAACAAAAACAAACAAACCAAAAACAAAACAAACAAAACAAAACAAACAAAATAAACAAACAAACAAACCAAACCAAACCAAACAAACCAAACAAACCAAACAAACAAACAAACAAACAAACAAACAAGCAAGCAAACAAACAAACAAAACAAACAAACAAACAATCTATGCACGCACAAACAGCTCTTTGCAAGTCACCCTGCCGCATCATGCTATGAAAGTGTGCCTGGCCAGCTTTTTCAGTTGCCAAGTCCACCCCGGTTGATTGGTTGATGAACTGTGGTTGGCCCCAACTGCTGCGGCATTGACTTGCAGGACCGTTGGGGATGTCAATTTCAGATGCATCCGGACTACAATAGGTACTTCCAAGGATCAATCTCGTTTTCTAAACAAATAAATTCTTACACAAAAGGACGAACCTGAAACAAGGGCGGGAAGGTTCATCCGCGGACATTCGCCACAACTGAAAGCTACATTGAGGGGATAGGCGGCACAACCAGACTTTGCGGCTTCCATTAAAAACTGTCCAAGCTAAGCTTTATGGCCCCGAGACGCCACCATTCCAAAATGGCGTTGTAGTTCGGACAAATACACAGGTGTCGCGTGGTGTGTCGGGGCCATAAAGCTTAGCTTGGACAGTTTTGAATGGAAGCCGCAAAGTCTGGTTGTGCCGCCTATCCCCTCAATGTAGCTTTCAGTTGTGGCGAATGTCCGCGGATGAACCATGAACCATTCCTGCCATTAGGGTCCGAAAAGTCTAACCCTTTGTTTCCACCTCCTTTGGGAAAGTGAGTTTGTGTATGCGCCAAAATAGAGGCCCAAAAAGTGGTGACTAGCCAAAAGCTTGATCATATCACGGCGGACAAAGGTGGCCCACCATTGGGCCTACAGGGCTGTCCTTTGGAGGCTTTGTTACTGCAAACATGAATGGCTTCCCCAACAGTGTAGATTCTCTTATGAGGGTATGCCAATCTGTTGCAGAAAGGAATGGCAGAAGACGCACTTGGAAACAAGTCACCGGTCAGCTCTTTCCAAGCAGTTACAGTGATTGGTTTGTGGCCGCAATCCTGAACCAGTTGATAGCTGGTTTGTTGTAAGGTTTGGTGTCAATCAAGCGATACTTTCCCCACCCGCACAGGGTTGAGGGAAGGACATTTACGTTAATATAAGAAACAAAAAACAAATGAACTTGCGTTCAACGTGGCTGTGAGTGCAAGGGGTCCAACATTGGCCCCAGGCAGCGAAAAGGCTCCTTGGTTGGCTTGCGCGCCGTGGCAGTGTTGGGGTTCACCTTCGTCATCCTCAGGCGTCACCGCGCTCACGGGCGGTGGCGGCTTACGGCGGATGGGGAAACGCATCTTGTCTGGTAGCATCTGGTAACCCTCAGCTGCATTGGTTCCCTTGTACCCATGGTTTCAGATGGTTTCAGCCATAGCATGCCCTTGTACCCATGGATTTCACCGTCGCATGTGTTTTTCCCCCCAGGATGCTATCTCAGGCAACCCTTAATTGGCAGATTGAATTGGCGGTTCGGGGATTTGAACCCCTGGTTTGGGGGGGGGGGAGTTGTGGAAACCCCACATTCGGGCAAAGCTCATCTCAGGCTTTTTGATCTCCCCGTTTGCAGGTCGGTTGCCTACGGCCGCTTTTTTAGCGGTCGGTTGCCTACGAGCGAGCCGTGATCGTTGACACAGTTTCTGCAGGGGATCCGAAGGTCCAGGTCCCAGCAACGGACGGCTGAAAGTGGATTCGATGCCAAAGTGGTTGCAGGCACCTCCCAAGACTGAGACATCTGAAGACTTTTCGCGCTGACTTGCGAGCCCCTGCGATTTGTCGACTCTTTTGCAAGACAAAGTTAAGAGGGGGTGTGAACCATTTTAAGTTGTGTCTCAACCAGCTGGATTGGCGACAAATGAAGAACTACCGGCACCTGACCAATTTGTAGAGGAAAGCAGGCGGGGTTTGAAGGTCAACCCGTCAAGGGGCAAGTTCTTCTGGAGTCCTTGTTCCTATCTGGCATCAGTTCCACCCGCTCGGCCTTTAAACCAACTGCCACAAGACCCTGTTCCTGTAAAAAGGCCCTGGTTGCACGTGTTTGGCGAGGATAAGGTCCGTTCCCCCCAAAATTCCTCTCTGGGCTGTCCTCAGATCCCCTGCAAAAAGTGTAACCTTTAGAGGGTTCAACGGAAGCTCCCACTAAACCAGCTGAAAACCTTAACACCCTTTTCTGGGACGGCTGGGAACCACCGAGCTGCTTGGTTCATGAATCTCAACAACATGGATAAACCTGATTCGGGTTGTCCCCTGCATGGCAAACCCCCTCAATCTGGTTGACTGCTCTTGGTCCCCACTCAAAACGACATCAAGGACTGAGTTGTTGTTTGGCACTTGCTCGGCAACTTGAGGCTCAGGTCGCCCAGTGACCGAGAGCAGACATTCGGGACCCCCTCTTTGTGGTCCGCCATATTTTTGCTGTTTCGTTTAGTTCAACGGGCGAAGTCCGCTGAGCTCCGTTTTCAGGTTCTGGTTCATGTATTGTGTTTCCCTAAAACAGAAGTTGGACGAGAGAGAACCGAGTGGGCTTCTCAAAACGGTGGCCCTTTTTTGTTGTCTTCCGTTTGAACACCAGCTGAAAGGGGGGGACCATTAGACACCGTCTCAAGGGTTTCGGCAGAACATCCGACATTTTGAGAAACCCGCTCCCAGTCTGACTCTCCAAGCACCAGCCAAAGTTGACCCCGGATGAATTAACCCGATTAGTAGGACTCCAAAAGTGGTCTGACTCCCACCTAACATGTGACACCCCCTAGATTCTTGAACCAGGGGTTGTTAATCCGCTGTTCCTGAAAGAGGACACCCCCCCCAGCAAACAAACAAATGGGTGTGACTCACAATGAAACAGTTGGGGCAAACCGCAGGGTTTTAGTCTACCTTTTCCTTTACCAGGGCAAGCCACACCCAAACCCCCCCCCCCCCCCCTCCAGCAAAAAAACAAAAATCAGGGGCGTCTGAAAATCCGCCGATCCGCTTTCCATCGGATGAACCACTCGACCCATGGCGTCGATGTCTCGCGCCGGGGCGCCGCTGCGACTTCTGCAGCACCGCCTCGGCGTTGCGGCCCAAGGTCAGCGCCAGCGGGTGATCCTCGCGTCTCAGCCGTTCGGAGGGGAGGAGGACTTCGTGGCTACAAGGGAACCCTCCCCAAAAAAAAGGGGGCAAAAGGGCACTACTGGGGGACCTAGGTGCTATGCTGGTATATAGCACAGCAACATAAACGTGAAGAAGGTAAGGAGATGGTGTGGTGGGCGCTTGAACACCAGCTCCTTCTTTATGATAATTGGTCTTGTCGGAGGTTTTGCTGGGAAAAACCGGCTCCAAGTGTCCATGTAGCACGCGAATGGCGAGCGGCGGAAACCCAAGGCCTTTGACCCTCAATGGGTGTATGATATGGGGGTCCCACAAAATGGGTTGTGCGTTGCTTCGGCTAAAGGTAGTCCTGCCCGCTTAGCGACAGAGTCTGGGCCAATGGCACTTTGCTAGAGCGCCCATGGCACTTCGCTGGATCGAAGCTTGAGCCTTGCCGGTCAAGAGGCTTGTGTGAAATGGAATCCATTTCTGTGATACAACAAAAAGGGCCTCCCAAAGACCAACCCCCTATGAGGGGGAGATTCCCCTGTATCACAGAAGTGGGGACAAACCCCTTGATCCCACAACCCTGGTCAAGAGGGACATTGATATTAGATAATTCGCCAACCGAAACTACGGGAATACGCAAGGAACCTTCATGCCCGAAAAGCAAAACCGTGCCGCCGAGCTCGCAAACTTAAGAAACTCCATGAGGACAGCCTCCGGGATTATCCTCCGACAGAGGAACATGGAACCCAACAGTAGAGGATTCGCATCTTGGAAAATGGACCCCCCCCCTGGGTTGCCGTGACGTTCCTGGAGCCTGGAATTTGAGGTCTTGGAATCGAGGAACATGGATTGAGGTAAAAAAAATCCAAGGAATCGAGGTCCCCCTCAAGTTCTAGGGGTTGATTCCCCATTCTTTTCAACCCTCGTTCTTGTCAAAAACCGATTGCTGTTTTCCGGGTGGTTTTCTAGAAAGATCTGGATCCCTGGAAAGAATGGAAATGGAAGCAACCCCTAGAATTTCGGGGGTCCCCCTATTTTGAACATGCAAATGAGAGAAATGCTTTGATGGAAGTCAGCAATGCTCAGGTGGAAGCAAGCCTTAGACCAGTTTCTCAAAATCGAAACTCATCCCCAAAAGTCCCCAAAACATCCAAAGGAACTCAGGAACAACAAGACGTGGGATGCGCGGCTGGAGCCTGAGTGTGGTCAAAAGGAATTGAGGAATGTGGATTGCGGAAAACGTTTTCCCAAGGAATCGAGGTCCGTCCCCCTCAAGTCCAAGGTCCTTTCAAAAAGTCGCTCAAAAGTCCAAGGTCCAAAGGAGCTCAGGGGTTAACAGGGATCCTTACAATGGATACACCTGAACATTGCAACTTGTAAATGGCGGTTTCCCTTTGGGTGTTGAAAAAGCCACATGTTTCAAATTGTTGCTTTAAATGGATATATTTTTTTCTCGGAGCCCTGTAAAGACTTGGCCCTAGCCTCAAGTCTGTCGTGGAACCGATCAAGACTCGACCCGTCTCCTCCCCGAGGCAGCGCTTGGCCACTTCGAAGCCCTGGTGGAAGGCCGCCGCCGCCTGGCGCCGGGCGCCGGGCGCGTCCGGCCGGTTTGGTCTGGCTCTTCCGACGCCCGAGAACTCCTCTGGCGGTGGTACCCCCCCGAAAAAAAATAAGGGGAAGCCCCAAAAAGGGTTACCCTAAAAAATGGGCTGGGAGCTGTTTGGTCCAGGTATGGACCCCCAAACTCATAGGGCGGGGGTGGTCAAAAAATAGGCGGCAACAAATAGGCGGCAACCCCAATATGACCCTTACCCTGGTAAATGGAAACATGCGGCCCCCCTGTGCTTTTAATTCTGACCCATCATGCCCAAACTCATATATCTGTGGTGGTCCAAAGTAGTTGGCGGACACACCCAGTGTGTAGGATCGCAAAAGAATCGACTCGGAAAAAGGATTGAGTCATCGATTTACGGTAGTAGCAGTTGGTGGTTTGGTGGGAGCTCTTCGAGCTGAGGTCTTCATGTTTGCACCAGGCCTTTGAGGCTCATGCTCTGGATAGTAGGCAACCAGGGCAAACCATCATGTAAGACTTAGAGGTAATACAAAGAACCAACCTTCCGAATTAACTCGAAGCACTCCATGCGCTGGTGCCAATCTCCCAGCTTCACCCTTTTTCATACCTCTTGGTGGCTTTGGTTGCTTTCGGCTTCCTCTAACCAAATGGGACGGTACCAACCTCCTTTCACGACCCGTCCAAAGCAAGGCCCAGGTGACTTTCTGTTTTGCTCCAAACGGACACCTTCACAGAAGCTTAGTTTCACAAGCCCCCCCCCCCCCCGAGCAGGGTTTCAGGGAGGAAGGGCTATGTACTGAATCGAACCCATCGAAAGCACCAACGGTTTAGTGAAAAGGGGAGCCTCCTTGGTCAGGACAAAACATCCTCCCCACCACAACCATTGATCAGAACTGATAGAACCCTCCACTTGATCAACGCTTGGTTGCTGTTGACCTCTCTGCAAAAAGTTTAACTTTTTGTGGGTTTAATGGAAAACCCAACTTGATTTCAACCAAACAATTAAAGTCTAAAGATCCGTTGCCCAATGGCAGTCAAGAACGTAGCCGTGAGCCCAGATTCCACGTATGCCTCAAGGACGGTCAGCCTGCAAATCCCGCTTTCGATACACCGATCGGCCAAAAGTCATCTTAAACCTGAGTAGCCAAGAATGGAACTCAAGGTCCAGTGGCAGTGAGCCAAACAGTTGGCCGGCCCATCCACCAAAACAGGGACAGTCGCCTTTCCAAGTGGCTCAAGTCACTATTGAGCAAGCATCTGGAGCCCCTGCTTTCCTATCCCGACAGAAGGAAAAAACAAACAACAAACAACGGGCCTTGTCGTATTCGTGCAGCAAGTCCCGCTCTACGGCCACGTTGTGGTACCTCGTGCGTCAAAACTGCAGTCCCTACCATGGAAGCTGAGAGGGTTACTCTCCTTCAGACTAACATGGAAGCTCCTCTGGAATGGAACCGAGTCTTTTCGATTGTGGAAGCTTCCATATTGGTCTGGGGGAGTGTAGACTACTTTCCTTTTGGGGAACCCCGCAGTCCACTTCCACCCCCCAACCCCCCGGGGCCCCAACCCCCCACCACCCCACCACCCCACCACCCCACCACCCCAACACCCCAACCCCCCACCACCCCACCACCCCACCACCCCACCACCCCAACACCCCAACACCCCAACACCCCAACACCCCAACATCCAACCCCCCACTCCCCAACACCTTCAACCCCCATGATTGTTGGGAAGAGGGTAAAGGAGTCTACTCAAAACCCCATGGTAAGAATCAACAAAAAGCTGCACCTGTTTATTGCTGCCCCTTACTGACCTTCATTTCGGCACCGTCGCCCTTGAATCAGTTCAGAGCCATGGCTGTTTTCTAAGCTACTCGGCACTTCCCTCGAAAAGACTTGAGAAGAGAGTCCTCTTACTTGAAGGGTACTCCTAGGGACACCAAAGACCACTCATATGGGCTTGTCCCAAAGCTGTTTGTTAGCATACGCACGTACGCACTCACAGCGGAAAAGACTTCAAGTACAATCCATTCCAGTTGGGAGCATTCTCAAACCTTACTGGCTGGGTTGCATGGACCTCGCATATTGTCGAGATACCCCTGTTCTTCTTTTTGTTTTTTCCGATGACAAAGCCCCACCCAGCAAGTGGTCCCAAAATGCGGAGATCGAGACCAGCAACCGGTGCCAGTCTTGATGTTGTCTTTTGTTGTTGGTGATTTTATGGGGGTGGTGGATGAAACTTAGAGCACTGGCCCCATTTGTCGGTGCTTCACTAACTACAGTTAACTTTGGCGCATGTGCCCTTCGCTGACATCGGAGCAGTATGCAGCCAAGTCTCGCAATTGCGAGGACGGCATAGTCATCCTGCCAAGACTCAGCTTCTCACTCATTGGTGGTTTGGATAGGTGGCTTGAAAGGTAGCGGTGATTTCTCATGTGTATTTCTACAAGAAGCAGGGGTTCAAATCCCCAAACCACCAATCCAAACCACAAACCACCAACTAGGGGGAAGCTGAAAGACAGAGTGAGAGAGCGAGAGAGCGAGAGAGCGAGAGAGCGAGAGAGCGAGAGAGCGAGAGAGAGCCGCCCTCCGGCCCCGACAACTTGGAAAATAAGGACCAACTTTGGAGAACCACACGTCGAAAGCTCGGCTCTCGTCAAGTGACTCTCAAGCATCTTCGATCCCCAAAGACCATCGAAGGTGGAAACACTCGACCGGGGACTCCGGGGACCCCATGTTGATTCACGCGAACAAGCAACGCACCAAGCATTTGAAGAGGCCGTGGGGCTCTGGCGCATGCGAATCCCCACTGTAAGTCAGTGGAGCTTACCGACAGCGGCCGCTCTTTTCACCTTGTTGACTTGAGTGCCCTGCAATAGTATTATTCCGCTATCATACGCAACCTCGCTCAGATAACATCAAATGAGAAACGCGAAAGTGTAAGTCCCTTCGCGAGCTTTCAGACAACTTCCAACTTTGCAGCTCATTGTATGACGCGGAGCCTCACCAGCGTCCCTTGACGGATCCTACAAAACGCCGAACCAATGTCTCGGTCACACCCTTTGAAACAGCCGGTTCTTTGGTGGTTCTGTTGTTTTGGCCAAATGGGCGCGTCATTTTTTAGGGGAACCCCCAAATTTCGGTGGTTGTCCATTTGGGTTCCCTTTAAAAACATAAAAAAAAAAAAAAAAAAAAAAAAAAAAACATGTGGTTGTCCTTCGTTCCTTTAAAGACAGACCTAAATGTGCACCTGCGCACCATTCTCAGCTGCTCGGATAACCAGATCTGAGCAGCCCCGCCGCTGGGACCTCTGCGGGGTCTGCGCTGCTGGTCTTCCTGGCAGGCCCAGGCCTCATAAATCCTCTGAACAGCGTCAACCCCATTGATAAACCTCGTTCGGGTTGTCCCCTACACAAACCCCCTCAATCAGGAAACCCTTTTCTGGGACGGCTGGGAGCCACCAAGCTTGTTGGTTCATGAATGTCAACAACATTGATAAACCTCATTCGGGTTGTCCCCCGACTGGCAAACCCCCTCAATCAGGTTGACTCCTCTTGGTCCCCACTCAAAACGACATCAAGGACTGAGTTGAGTCATAATCAAATCCGGTAGTAAAATGGTCGATCCCCAGAACCATGCTTCAAGAATTCAGATTTGGCGGATATCCGCAACTATTTCTGGCGACTGCCCCTTACTAACCTTCATCTACCCGGGTGTTGATTGTGGCTCAGCTGGTATGAGCCGTCAATATGGCCATGGGTCCAAAGCCAAATCGTACCCCCAGTGGACGGGACCCAATTCAACCACTAAAATAGGTTCTAAAATGGGTGGTGAATTCACATACTCACCTCTTTCAATGAGGAAGTGGAGGTTCCTGTGGGCAATATATGGCTGTGAGTCAAAACCAATGGTACCATTTTGGGGTAGGTGGGAAGTCAACAACTCGCCAAGTCAGCGAATGGATTTTTATCAGGGGTCGATCTAAGCTGAGCGTCCACAAAACCAGCAAATGCCTCTAAAAGTGGATAGTTCATCGCTGTGCCGCCTCGCAACCCGGACACATGAGAAGACGAGCTTAGGGCTTCGGTGCCATGGCGACGTGAGACGGTCAACAGGCTTCCCATGTCAACAGGTCCCCGGTTACACACCGAGGGCGGTTTGTGGAATCCAAAGCCGTCCGAACTCGAACCTCGTGAACTGGACCGAAGGATTTCTACGTGGGCTCCTCAAAGGGTAAAGAGGGGGCCGGAAGCAGAAGCACCTTTTACCAGCTGCTTAGGGTTTCTATGTGTGCCAGGTGGCTATGACTTTTAACTGCTTCCCCACTTCTCACTTGGACATAAATCCCCGCGGAACCAACTTCCATGAACTGGCCCCATGGTTTTACCATCAAGGTCACCCCTATGTGATAGGTTGATTGAAGGGACACAACCCAACGTGTTTTTGATTTTGAGCAAACCCTGCAGGCAAAATTCAATTAAAGGGAACCCAACCCAACCTGCTTCTGATGTTGAGCAACCCCTACAGGCAAAAACTGGCCCTGCGGAATCCACCCAGCTGATCCCAAAAACCCACCTGTCGATGAGCTCGAGCCCCTGCATCGCGTGCTGCACCGCCTCCGGAAGGATCCAGCGACTCGAGCGCGCAATGCAACGAATGCCGCCGAAGGCGATTTGAGCGGGCATTCGGAAAAGTGTGAGGAATCACAAATAACACCTCAAATAGATTATGTTCTAAAATCAAAACCACATAACCCCCCTGCAAATTGCTTCCAAATTGGCTGTGGGTCAAAATCGGCTTACCCCAAAATGGGTTGCCCTGGTAAATGGAAACATGGACTAAAACCTGCGGTCCAATTCCTGGTGGTCCAAACGGCGGTTTGAGCGGGTATTAGGAAAAGTGTGAGGAATCATGTTCAAACAAAAACATGGTCTTGGTGCACTGACCTTTTTCTTGACCGGAAATTGTCCTTTAATTGCTGAAGTGTTCGCTCAACTCAGGTTTCGTTTTGCAAGGGAGTATATACTGCAGCAAGTCCAACAAAAAGGGAACCCCCAGTTCAATAGCGAAAAAGAAGCAAAACTTGTCCGTTTGACGAGGTCGCATTTGCCACAATAAACTTCATCAATCGTGCCCTATGCTATTTAGCCCCGGGAGACGTGGAGCCTCGCCAAACGCATCAGTCAAACCTGCGTAGGTTTAGGGACCTTTTCGCGTTGTGGCTGGGGTTTGGCCAAGGGGAACTAAGCGACATGGCAAAGGGCCACATTTAAACATGGCACGGGGGCTTCAGGCTTTTGGGTGTCACCAAAGCCCGGGCTGCATGGCCTTGTGAGCCCCTCTTAGACCTCATGAAGAACCATACACCTTATCGGCAAATCCTCGGAGGGATGGACGCCGGGACGCCCAAAGACGCACAAAGTGGAGAGAAGATCGGCTAGTCTGGCAATGCCCCACCATCGATGTATGAAATATTTACCCACATTTAGCCTTATGGGTGAAATGTTAGTACCCTCCCACGAATTGACCGGGGGTCCCTTTAAAAGGAACACGATTTTCCAGGACCCAAACCCCAGGTTCCACCTCAGTTGGTGGCAGATGAAATACTCGTGCCTGCACGGATTCTCTGGCAATGTAGCACTCGGATGCAGAAATCTGGCCTTGTCATGCTTCTCCAGCTTCGAGAGAATGGCGCAAATGTTCAAGTGCGTGCCTGAGGAGAAACAAGAACGCTGCTCTCCATTGCCCTCCCCCTTCGGCTGGGAAAAATACATCACCTTTTGGTGGTTAGATAAATTTCCTGTTGGTGTAATGATGTACAAGCCCAAACAAATGGAGGGCCAGTGCTCACAACAGAAAGGCTCTATGCAAAGGCATGCCTTCGCTTCATGGCTGAAGAGGAGTCCGTGGGAAGTCTTCATCTTGCTGGTTCTCAGGTGTGACTCACTTCCGATCGAGTTGATTACAACTTTGGGTTCAGAACGGTCAGGAACTTGAGCTTTGGGCTAAAACAACAAGGGCAAAACTCAAAGAGAGCTGTCAATTACCATAATGATAAATTTAGCTGGGTTCCCTTTTGAGACCCATCTGTTTAAAAAAAAATGGGCTCCTTCTTGAGGTACAAATGGCTGTGGTACATGGGTGTTCCATCGGCCCGAAAATGGAGGCATAGGTTATGACCCATGGACACATCCTAGGTCCTCCAGTAGAGAAGTTACAATAAGTTGGTACCATTTTTTCCTGATTCGTCTATTTTAGTAGGGGAACCATCCCCAAAAAACGAAACGTAAAAAGGGCACTTTTTCTGTAGTCTATTTTAGTAGGGGAACCCTCCCCAACCAAAAAAGGGGTGAGAAAGGGCACTACTGGGCAACCTAGAATCCCAAGATCTCGGTTTCCTTCGGTCTCAATGTGCGCGCCTGCCAGCGTGCCTTCGTCCGTGCCCAAGTCCATCTGGCGCGGAGTTTGGGCGGGGCTCAAGGGCCCACGGTGGGAATAACTTGGTGGTGCGATAGGCAGGGAATGAGGGAATGACCCCGGACAAAAAAAAGAAGAAGAGACACACACACACACACATCCCTTGTGGTTTCCTCTAAGGGAATCCCCGCGTTCATTCCGCTTTCGGGGTTAGGAGTATGCTGTTTCAAGGGTAAGGAAAAAGAACACTTTTTTGGGGTTAGGACGGTATGTGGCTGCGATAGGCAGGGAATGAGACATGGAATGACCCCGGCAAAAAAAAAACATCCATCTTGTGGTTTCCTCTAAGGGAATCCCCGGGTTCATTCCCACATTCGCTACTGAGCACCGGCAAGATACACCTGATCACCAAGAAACCAGGGATGGTTTACAAGGGTTCCTGGAAACCTCTAAGCTATTCTGAGTTGCGAGTTTCAGGTTGCGAAGAACAAGCAAGCTGAAGGCGATATGTTTCCTGAGGCTCCCATCTAATACGAGGAGCAAAAGCGTGCTCCGGAACCCCATCTTGAGACAGCTATGGGTCAAAAAGACCCAAAATGGGTTGCCCTGGTAAATTTAAAACATGGACTAAAACCTGCGGTCCAATTCCTGGTGGTTCAAAATTTTGACCCATACCCAGGCAAGAATCTCTCCACCAACACATTGATGAACATGCAGAATTTGCACCGGGTATGGGGTTCTCGAGTTGGAACCAATGGATGCGATTCATCTCGCATCCTTCGCCTTCTCACGGCGAAGGTCCATAGTCATGGACCAAACAACATATCGCAGGTGGACATTAAATCTGGGAGCTGGGGGGGCGTGCTCGGCCTTTGTGGGGCTCCCTCCCCCTGCCCTCCCTCCCCCCAGCCCCCAGGATTCAAGCAAACGCAGCCACCACGCCCCACGCCCCACGCCCCACGCCGCAAACCTGAGCGAGTCCTCGCCTCCATCTGCAGAGCTCTTCGGAGGTAGCTAAGGGCCCCGTGGAGCTTCCCTACCTGAGGCGGGAAGTCTCCGAAACATCCGCGCCTTGTGCCGCGTGGAGTAGGTGTAAATATGTGTATGTATACTCTCTATATATAAATATGTATATATATATGTTCATACTGCATGTTATACACTATGTGTGTGTGTGTTTGTATATATATATATGGCAGTTGATCAATATTCCTGTTTCCGGAAAACGCCATCTTCGCGAGAAAAAAGTTTCATTCGCGAATCTTTCGCGACTCCATCGCCACGCCCTTTTGTTTGCAGCGTGCGCTCCGGAGCCATTGTGGCTGCTGCAGTTGTGCTTGCAAACACGGTAGTCGCAGTTCACTTGCGTGCAGTACGTAGTGTCAAGTGCAGGCAGTCACCGTCGTTTGCTGTTCCCACTTGCGGTTGCCGGCGATGTGCGGAACCTTGCAACAAGCTCCCTGGTCTTTCGCCGATCTTTCGCGGAGGGATTTAAGCCAAGACGAATGGTCACCGAATACATAACTCCTTGCAAGGACCTTTTGATCAACCCCCATATATATGTCTGCATTTGCCCCTGCTTTGTATACCCCATACCTCTTGATATAGAGCGGCATTTTATCTGGCACCCGAGCCCCCCAGGAAGCGGTTTAGTCGAGACGAGCGGTTGTCCTGCGATGCAAACAGATCCATGATTCTCTGAGAGCCGTCCACAATCAAGCGGCTCAAACCCGCACCCACCCACCCCGACAATGTGTGCTGTTCCCTTGCTCTTTCCGCTGCTATCAACGTCCCTGCTTCCGGCTTGAACAAATATATGATCAAATATGAGTCCGTGACTCTTTCCCTCTGAAAGCGACACAAAAATATCACATCGCTTTCAGGAAATTAACACCTGGTTTCCTCAAGAACAAATGCCCCACGACGGATGCCTAAAGTCCGTACAGAATGAGGACTATTCATCTTGAGCGATGAAATCTTTGGCCAGGCTGGGACTTTGTGACTCCGCGCCCAGGCAGAATCAGTTCATGGGTCAAAATCAAACCACCAAACTGCAGGTTTTAGTCTTTACCCAGGCTCCCTTTTGGGGCCACTTCAAAACAAGCCCCCCCCCCCCATGCTTTTTTGGGGATTCTTTTCAGCAACTTCACACTGCGGACTTTTACAATCCATTCCCAAAACCAGGCATCAGATTTTGATCCCCAAAGGACCTGGCCATGGGTCAAAATCCCAATCACCACTAAAATAGGTTCTAAAATGGGTGGTGAATTCGCCTACCCCAAAATGGTATCATTGGTTTTGACCACCACAGCCACCTGCCTGGAGAGCAAAACCCCCGACTCGGTGGAAAATCGGACTCCACCGATGCACGTGCCTTCTTGTAGTAGCACCCCAGGTTGTTGCAGGTCACCTAAGCCCAGGGATTCTGAGGCTTGGCGAATACAAAACCAACCATGGCGGGCGAAAAAGGAAGTTTCAGAAGTGGGCGGCTCGTCTTTAAGGGTACCCCTGTTGCGAAACCGACAAGAACACGACTTCTTTGTTTTTGTGGTGTTTTTTTTGTGGGGGGGGGGGGGTCCTGAAAAAACCAAACAAGTTCAAGGTAGACTAAACCCAGGTTAAGTTCTGATCCCTTCTGGTTGGACATCAACCACCCGCCGCATCGCGGCTGCCTGACCGTTTTGCCGTGCCTGTCCAGCTCTACCAAACCAAGCCCCCCAAAGAAAGCGAAGAAGCTCAAGCCTTGGAGCTGTCCAGCCCCCAAAGAAAGCACAGAAACTCGAGCTGTCCAACAAATGCTGTCATCTGGGAAAGGACCTTTGCCGTGATGAGCTCTCATCCCTACAGGTCTCCTGCACACATTCCCTTCCTATCAGAGAGAAGCCCCAGAAGCCGAGAAAGCTCCAGAAAGGGACGGAGCTAAACCAGAAAAGCTCTGGCCATAGGTGGCCTTTTGGAAAACTAGATGGCCCTGGTAAATGGAATAAACACCATCTAAACCAGGGCCCTCATTTTTTTAAGCAAACCAACCAAAAAGGACACCTATGGCTCTGGCGTCATTCCTGCGGACTTGTCTCAAAAGTCTCTCACGGCGACTTAGGAGAAACTCCCACAAGGGCTGTGTACCCTTTGTGATGACTCCTCGTGCCCATATTGAGCGAACCTTGAGATGCAAATGCCAGAAGAGATCCTGGAATTTCTGCACATGCGCCAAAAATAGGCAACATGCCGTCTCAAGATTCTGGCACAGCATGCAATCGGCAAGCATGAAAGTGTAGGGAGACGGATATCAATTGGTGCCATAGCGAAGTATCCTTGTGAGGGTCAACAACTTGCCCCTGGATTTGTGAGAAAAAAGTAGTTTCCCGACGTCCCTCCCAAATACACCATGGACGACAACTGGAATGTTTGACCGAAACTGCGATTTTGACGATTTTCGAGTCCGGGAAAGGGGGGAGCCCATTTGGACGAGGACCGAAGAGCAATTCGGGTCGCCCCCGAATTACGCTATCAATAAATATCGTTTGCCCCAGGTTTCTCGGGGGAGGGTATCTATTGTCGGGGGGACGGAAATTACATCCCGCAAAAAGGAAGACATCGTGGTGCACGGTGAATTTAAGTGGCACCTCAGGTGGACCAGAATTTCCCACCTAATTGTCATGTCCATGGAAGGGTCCCCTACTGTGGATGGACGCAATCCTGCACCACCTAAGAACTCTGGAATGATGATCCACTTGCCAACCAACAACGGCTTCCCATGGTTGCAAAGTGGTGCGAACGGATTTCGTCCATCCACAGTCTGGGCTGTTCAACATGGAGGGTTGGTCAATCCTAATCCATAATCCCTGTAGGGAAGCCACTACAAAGGGTGACCCCTTGCGTAACCCAAGGCAAGGAGTAAGGATTTCCTTTGAACAGCCGAGCTATTAAGATTTGCCACCCAAAGAGCGTCTCACCAGCTGTGCGCACCGCACCTCTCGCCGACTCGGTTTCTACTCGCCGCTTGGGCCCCTGGCCGCTGCCAGGCTGGTGCCACCTCGGGACCCCCGAACGCGCGGAACGCGGAACGCGTAAGGCGACATCCTTCAAAGGCGAGATGTATTGAACCCATATGGGTATGGGTCAAAATCAAACCACTAGGAGACCACAGGTTCTAGTCCATGTTTCCATTTACCAGGGTGCCATTTTGGGTACATATGGCCATGGCTCAAAACCCAAAATTCCGCACACCTTCACATCCCAATCCAACCACTAAAATAGGTCCTAACATGGGTGGTGCACCAACCCCAAAATGGGATCCCATTGGTTTTGAACCATGGCCATATGAACCCACAGGAGTCAGAATCAAAACACGGTATTGAAATGGTCCACCCAAAAACAATGAAAGGGGCAGGGGCCGCACCTGCATATTACATATATTATGGTTGGTTCGCACCCATATACAACCGGTATGAACCAGTTAATGGGTTCTTCACCCAGAAGGTCAACGTTGTTGATCACTGCAAACAAGCAGTTGCTGCATGCTAGCTGGTGACAAAACGGTAGCTGTTCAAGAGGCAAAACAGTCCTCTTGGTCAACGTTCAACCCGAAACCCAGCTTTAAATCTTCTCTACCACCATCTGTTTTTTTGTTGAAACCAAGTGCAAAAAATGTAAGATGGTACGAAAGTTAATCCACATCGAAGGCGAAACACATGTATTCCCCCCCGTATCAACCCCTAGCTTGTCACAATTCTGGAACCCACATCATGGGAAACCAGGCCGCCAAGGGCTCCGAAATGGCCATAGGGTCGGCCTATGGCTCAGTGGTGTCCTGGGATTCCCTAACCAAAACCCGGTTGACCCGTGTCCCTAGAACAAGCGGATCCCGAAAGGGATGTTGCCCCACGTTTAGCGTGAAACAAGAAGGCATGCGAGTACAGTCCACTGATCCAAGCAAGTCGTTCGCGGAAACGTCGAAGGTTTGTTTCAAAGGCCCAGTTTGGTCGCCCCCCAGGTTCCCCATGGCGTAGGAGTTTGGTCATATCCACTCAAAACTCAAACCGCCAGACCTTCCGTGGCCACAGGAAAAAGAAAGCTCACCTTGAATAATCACATGGTAGTTGCGGTTCAAGGGGAAAGCCCCTCCCAAAAAAACCCAAGAAAGGGGCCGGCCCCCCGAATCGCCCCGAATCCGGTCGCCCCGAATCGGTCCCGCACAGCACCCAACTGGGCACCCTTCTCTCAGAGAGCTGGAGAGCCGGGGGCCTGGGGGCCACGCTCTCCGCCTGGTTGGCGATGAGGATGGCCTCTGCGTACTTGAACTGCTCAAAGGCCTCAGAGCTTTCGCGACGGATCGATCGGCGCCGATCCGGGGGGCGTGGCTCGCATGGGGGCACCACGAAATGGGTGGTTGTCCTTTCGGGGGCTTCAAACTAACCACAAGAAACGATCCCCCCCCAAGAAAAAAGAAGAAGACAAAATAACACAACAAAAACAAGCATGTGAAAACCAACCTCCGAGGTCCAACCACACTCCAGATACTTTGGCATTCATAGTAAAAGAAGGGAAATAATGTTGACCCCATATGAATCAACCCCAGTTTATTAATAGGGGGGACCCCTCCAAAAGTGGTCTGATTCCCCTACATGGCGGGAGCAACAGTAGTAAGTTTCCGAGCAGGCTCAACAGCACATCCAATGGGGAAAGCAAAACATCCAAAACGTCATTTGGATAAGATCGGCATATCTAGCGGTACATCCAGTGCCACTGGGGGCAATGTCTAGAATTCCAAAGTGCGAAAAGCTGCTTTACTGCCCATACCCTGTATTGATTGCGGAGGAGAGCAAACGATGCAGCTGCGTCTCTGGCAAACCCAAATGGGCTGGCTTGTAGTTGGCGCTGCTTGATTGGTGACTTTGTTATTACCTAAAGGACTCGACAACAAAATCGAACAAGATGTGGTGTTTCCCCTGGAATTGTAATTACCACCCAACAGAAGGTACACCTTCTTCCGGCACCCACAAGGGTAGTGGTTGTCAAACTAGGGGCTTGGACCCGTGGCTGTGATTCTGGCTTCCTTTTGCAGCAACCTGAAAACTTGCTGGTGCCCAGTAGGGAATGCGGGAATGAACCCAGAATTCCCTTAAGGGAAACCATGAGGGATGGTTTACAAGGATTTCCCTCATTCCCTGCCCATCGCACCAAGAAAAGGTACCCTCACACATCACAAAGACATGTTGAGCTCTTCCTGCGCCTTCGGCCTGAGGAATCTTCCTCTCGAGACATGGTGAATTCATGTCGGTTTCCTTCAGCTTGCCTGCAGGCACCAAACAAGAGATTTCCCTTCTGAGTTCAACTCAGTTGGCACGTGGCCGGGTTTTTCCCTTTCTCCCCATGAAAGCAGACAAGGTGATCACCTCTCGGATTTTGCTCAGGAACTGACCAAGAAAACTGTATGGTTTCTACTCTGCCAGCTGCCGACTCGGCGATTCTACGAAAACCGGAGAAACACAAATAAAAAAGGGAATAAAAAAGAAAAAACCCCAAAACAAAAAAACCCACCGTAACATCTCCCTTCGTCCCTTCGAACACTGGCACATGCCATCCCCTCTGCTTTCCCCGCTTCCCGCTTCGCCCCGGACGGCTTTGGACTGGCCCTTCCGCAGGGCTTCCATGCCGTCCCGGTTGCAGGACAGCACCTCCGCGCCAAAAAAAACGGATCTGATCTGATCGGAGTCAGATCGTAAGACAAAAACCCTTCAGGGGATCCTTCGGAGTCGGAGAAGCCTCTCGCATTTTGAGGAGTCCGGGTATTCACCTAAAAAGATCTGCTCAGAAGGTGAGACTTGAAATAACCAAGGAGGAACCATAGGGACTGGCGCGAGGCTGGAGCGAAAAGGCCGAGCCGAGCTGGAATGAAGCATGAGTGGATTTCCGGGGTTTCCGCAAAAACGCGGCACTGCTCAACAAAGAAAGAGGTTCCCACGCACAGATTCAACGGAACCCGACCCTTGGGGCAGCGATGGCAACTCTGAGTTCTTCGGTCCGTGAAGTCTTACCGACTTCCCGCCCTGACACGAAGGACCCTTACTGAAGCGCCCTCCTTAGTGCATGGCTGGAACTAGGACCCCAGCAAAAAAAAAGAAGCCCGGTTAGCAAATTCTGGGGAGCTAATTCTGGGGAAGAATGGACAGTGCCCTCCTTAATGAAGGCCCGAAATCTGAAACCAAGCCTGTGCAGGGGCCCCACAGGCTTTCCCCCTTGACCATTACGCCGGGGTCATCTTAATGAAAGTTGCACAACTCTTCCAAGCTTAAAAAACAACATGCCCAAACAAATGCAACATGACACAAATCTAGACGACCCTTGACAAACCATGACGAACCATGGTGTGACTTTTTGTTTGACGTGGCCTTGAAAGGAAACCAAAGGGAAAACCCACCATTTTAGTTGGTCCTCAGTTCTGCGGCACACCCATGCACGGGCCCACAGCCCACACCAGGTACGAGGCCGCGGCTAGGTTGTGGAAGTCCTGCTGAAACCGAGCGAGCCGGGGGCGAGAGCTCATCGGTGTTGGGGAAGCTCTTGGGATTGTTTTGCACAACCAGAAAGGAAACTCTCCATTGGGGTTCCAACTGGTTTCAAGACGAAGCTAGGGTTCCCTGATTTCAAGACTAAGCTACATACCCATCTCTGAAAAGCAGAATGCCATCATGGAACACCTCTCCAACGCAGCTTCGGCAGACTTCCCCCCACCGCCCGAAGAGCTCATGAACCAGTCCCAGGGCGGCTCCAGCAGACCTCATCTGGGATGTGTCCAAACAAAGGACTCCGAAGAGCAACGCTCACATGCCGATTTCTCTCGGAACATAAGCAAACATATAATAAGAGGAGGAATCTTTGTTTGACAAACGCAACAACTGACTGAACACGACCAAGCAAACCAACCACAACCAACCACAACCAACCAACCGACCAACCAACCACCCACCAACCCACCCACCCACCCACCCACCCACCCACCCACCCACCCACCACCCACCCACCAACCAACCAACCAACCAACCACTCAAACAAACAAGTCTCCCCCTCCCGCGTCTCTTTTGGCGGTCGGCGGTCCGGCTTGCCGGAGCCGGGTAACGCCACGGCCGTCATGGCCTCCATCCCTCCCGGGCGACCTCGAGTGCGAAGCGCTCCACATCCGAGGGACAATTTCGCTAAGCTTCGGACCCAGAAATTATATAATATGTTCTGACTCTGTTCCATATATAGTCTACCCGAAAAAATGGCCAAGTGAGTTGGACCCCGCCATTTTGGGGTTGTGTTAGTTGTCTCTGCCGCACTAAAAGAGGGGTCCAGACCAAATAGGTGGCCCCAAAACAACATCCCCTAACAGATTTTTGCGTTATTGTTTTCTCTTTTGGGGGGGAAGGCAGGGGGGGCGGCCACATTCTCTGCCGCCGAAACTACCTCAGCTCTTGCCTAACTACTGGCATATTAACCCTACAGGTGAATTTAGTGAAACTCGAAACAACAATTTGCCTGGGCAACTCGCTATGAATTAAGAATTAACATGAAATCGTCAAGCAAGGGACCTTTTGGTCTTTCTTTTAGCATCGCACCATGCCATTGGCCGTATTGATGGCGAATTGCTTGAGGCCAAAGCTCTTCTCACTTGACCTTTGGGGCCCAAATAGATGATGACTCTTGGCTCTTGCCTCCCTTGAAATCAAGTCCAAAGAAGGGTTCGGTTCCTGGTGGATCTCAGAGTCGTAGCTCGTGTGAAGGTTCTGAGTTGAGAAGTGACCTTTGAGAATATAACTGCAAAAGTGAGAGTTACGGGTGTGCTCTTGTTTGTAAGGGCAGCTTTGTTGGGAGGTCTCAGTTGGAAACCAACTACAAAACGAGCCACCCATGTGTCATTGTTATAGATATATTTGCACTCCCCTCCACTATATGGAACCTGACTGAGGGATACTGGAAGACGATGTCCCTTTAAAAGGGACCCTATGGCGGGTTCTATGTTAGGTGAACCAGAGGGTACATGAAAAATACAATTAGAGATTTCCAAATTAAAGGGTCTGCATCATGATGAGCTCCTTTTTATCCCTGGTGCGCTCACAATATCTTTGGCAGGCATGCTTATTACCATTATTATTATCATTATCATTATCATTATTACTAGTACTGTTAGTATTATTATCAGTATCATTATTACCAATTATAATTATTATTATCACTGTTATTATTATCATTACCATCATGATCTTATTTGCTTTGGGGGGGGGGTGGTCTCCCCCACCAAGCTCACGCCTTTACCGAGCCCAGGGGCGTCTTGTCGCCCAGGCTGGAGGGCCGGAGGCACCCGCCGAAGCCCCTGGCACGGGTGTCCACGGGGCATCTTGCAGGGCGAAACCCCAAGAACCCTCCGGCCTCTTTGGGGGAACCATCCGACCTTTTTTTTGGGGAAAGCATCTCTTGGTCTCCGCCGAGCTTTTTTTTTGCTGGACATGGCGACGTGGTTGAGACAGCTGGTGTTGGGGTGCTGGAAGTCGTGCTCTGTTGTACTCCGCAAAGGGAAACGTGCGAACTGGGCGACATGGCCCCCGTTCCATACATACTTCAGGGCATGGCACCGAAGACATGCAGCACAGCGCTGGATGCTGGCATTGCACCCCCGAAAAGCCATGGGTCAGTCCCATGTTAACCGGCATGCCATATGTCATGCCATCGTGGTGCAAGGCCTTGCGTGACCCCGCGTTTTTTCCTTTTTTTCCAGTAAGCGCAAAGGGCTTCCAGCCAGCAAGCGCTGGTGTGAGAGGTTGAAGCATGGTGTATCAAAATCCTGGAGCACTTAAGAAACCCTGGAGTGAAGTGAGTCTCCTGCAACGAACAAGGGCAAGCTGGAGTGATGCTTCTGCTGCAGATTCCAGCAAGCCATGGTTTCAACCATGGTTTCCAAGTGGTGCGAAATGGATTTCGCATCCACAGGAAAAGCATGGCCTGGAAGCCCTGAGGTTTCAACGAACGCCCTGCCCCCCCCCCCCCACTCCTGCCTGCAGTGGCACACTTGCCACCGATTCGGCCCCAAGTGGAACGTCTGAGCCAAGATGAGCATTGGACAACTCAGGGGGTTACCCTCGACGGATTCTACACCCCTGAGATCCAAAAGAAACTATGCGCCGCATAGTTGTGAGCCGGGGGGCAGCACAGAGTCTGCCTCCTTCCAGCTCAGGAGTGTCACAAGTCTAGAAACTTGACCCCCGCAAAAGGACAACTAAAAGCACACAATTCCTATGTTCTACGGTGGCGCGGTCAATTTGTTGAGATTCGGACCAACCCGGTGAAAGGGCTACCCTTTTTGTGTCTTTGAAGTAGTCTTCCCGTGGGCCTTCCGCAACCGCCGAGAGCAATGTCCGCATCTCTGAACGGCTTTCTGTTGATGACCAAGACCCGAATGAAAAACGGACAAGCCGCAAAGAGGAATCCGCCGAGGGTCCGCTGCTAAGACCAAGGTTACTTCTGTTGCCGGGGGTCCCAGACAAATCAAGCCCACTTTTTAGACCCCAAGGGTCCAACTTGAGGATCCTCACGCTAGCCCCTCGAGGATCCGCACGCTCGCACCGGGGTCTGATTTTTTTCCTTCTTTGCCCAAAGAACCTGAAAAAAACAGAGTGAGAGCCATGACAAAAAGTGGACCAAAAAGGGAAAAGTGAAAAGGCGGCCTTGAACAACTGATCTTCAGGCCTTGCCGCAAAAACAGAGTCAAATACTTGATGAGCACTCACTACCACCAACCACTTCGCCCCAAATGATTCACCCAGCTGAAGCCCACTTGGCACTTCTCAACCAGGCTCATAGACAACTTCCTTGGCGCGGGCGAATCAAAGCGGTCGGATGCATTGGCTGAGCATTTGTACCCCCAGGACTCGAACCTTGGGCCACTCTCCCACGTCTTGAAGGGATCTTGAGTGAAGCCAAACTACATCCCTTGGCCTCACGGTACCAAGCTGGGAAAAAGCATACAAAAAAAGTTGCTGTAAGGACCTACATGCGGGGTACCTCACTTTGCCCGGAGTTACTGCCTAAGTGAATCGGAACCCTCTCCTGTTGGGGCCTCTTTTTGGGGTCCGCTTGAAGCGTCAACGCAACCTGCGCTCTTGCGACCATCCTTTCTCACTCCATTACGCAGCCAAGGTTAGGCCCCTCACCCTTCAGGTCAAGTGGCCCCCTTGACAGATGTTCCATGTATGGGCCTCAAAACATCACCCCACCAATGGAAGCTCATGTTTAATTGGCGCAAAAGCGTCAAAAGACAACTTTAAGGAGTCATGCAACTAGGCTGCTCGCCCATACAGCCTTCCTCTGCAGGCATGGCCCGCCGAACTGACTGACTGATTAACTTTTCGCTGGCGAAAAGAATGATCCTTGGAAGTCCAAAGGTTTCACCGACGGACTTGCTTCGCGCATTAAAACGGTGTCTTCCACTTGCTGAAGGCACCCCTGACCCAGAAAGTGCCAGTGTTTGCCATTTCCCCTCTCAAACCAACAAGGGGCAATCAAGAAGCCCTTCAGCAAATGGAAGGTCTGTTGCTTGGTTCGTTCATTCGCCATATCTGGATGCTCAAATCACTTCAAGCATTTAAGCAAGTGCCACCCTTACCGGTAAGTGGTTTGGTCACTGTGCGTGGTTCCCAACTGAAGTGGCCATGGGTCAAAAGCCCGTACCCCCAGTGAACATCCCAATCCTAAATAGGAAGCCTAAAATGGGTGGTGAATTCACCTACCAACCAAAACGGTTTCCACTAAAATCCCGACTAAAATGGGTGGTGAATTCAACCAAAATGGGATCCCATTGCCTTTGCCACCCACAGCCAAGTGGATTCCGCGTCCAGGAACCGTCGGAGGGAATGAAGCTGAGGCTGTCCAGATGCTGGCTGATCTCGACAGCTCACGGGTCGTGCAGCAGTGGTCACTATTGGATGGTTTTAGATGGAAACAGGAAAGATGTGCGTTTGTTTTCCTCCAAAAACCCGACCAAAAATGGGTTTTGAACACCTAGGTCCTCCAGTTTTGCGAGGCTAGAATTAGTTGGTACCCGATGTTTTTTTACTGTTTCGTCTATTTTAGTAGGGGAACCCTCCCCCCAAAAAAAGGAAAAGGGCACTATATACTGGGGGACCTAGGGAAAGATGTCCAATTGTTTGTGGTACCCACCGGAGCTGCGCTGAAAACCCTTTGGTGCTTACAAAAGCCACCTTCACCGTGAGATCCCTGACCTCTCCGAGCGGAAGGTTTGGGAGCGGTTCCCGAGAGCTTCGGACTGGAACTGCGACCGGGTGGTCTGCCGGGTGACCTTGCCTCAGCTCCGAAGGCTGGCTCGTCTTTCTTTGGCGGGTTGAAGGGAAACCCAAAGGCATAAAACACCATTTTGGGGGGTACCCTAAAAACCCACATACCCAAATCAGCGTCCCCTTGCTTGGTTTGGAGACCGGCAGTTTTGGTGAATAAGGAGTGGTTTCCTATTTACCCTCGACAAGAACCAGGGGTTCAAATCCAAACCACCAATTCGGGCTCACCTGACAGTCACTTGGGGAAAAAAGGAAAAAAACTCGCACATACCCACGCGCACAAAGACAAAGAAAGAGGTAAAGTCTGATTGCCAATAAGAGTGAACACATGTGCCAATTCAGCAAAGTTCATTGATTCATCATTGTTCGCACAATGTGGAGAGGACTCCTTTTGGGGGACCCCCCCCCTTGGGGTCTATGTTAATTTGCAGGGCAGTATAAGGCTTTGACGCAAAAAAAAACACAACAATGCCCAGGGACGGCGTCTCTCGCCAGAAAGAACCAAATGGCACGTCGCAAGGCCCCTGAAAAGGGGAAGTGTCTTTTGCTTTGGGCTGCAAAGTCAATATGGGTGTGTCTCAAAATAGAGGATCCAGACAATTGGTGGGTTTCCTGTTGCTTCCCTTTAAAACCACCCCAAAAGGGGCATCATAAAAAGACGCTCTCATATAAAAGAGAATCGGGGTGCTATCAGAATTCGCTTCTTGAACGGACCCTGCAAAAGGGGCTAGTTGGGTTTCAGCTTCTTCATCAGATGGCCATGGGTCAAATTCCAAGTCGTACCCCCTGTGAACATCCCAATCCAACCACTAAATAGGAAGCCTAAAATGGGTGGTGAATTCACCTACCAACCAAAATGGTACCAAAGCGATTTCCACTAAAATCCCGACTAAAATGGGTGGTGAATTCACCTGCCAACCAAAATGGGATCCCAAAACAGTTTTGACCCACAGCCAGATCAGCGGGGCTGCCAAGTTGCTCACGAAGGAGTGGCCCGTCTTCTCCGAGGTCCACACCAAGCCCTCCATGTCCTGTTCGCTGACTCAGCGCGCTCCAAACGTAAAAACCCGAGCAGACTTTTGGTACCATGCTGTGGATGGACTAAATCCTGCACCACCGAAGACACCCGGGAATGTTGATTCCCCTGTAAATACCAACAAACAACGGTGGCCAACTTCCGGGGTCTTCCGTGCTGACTGTGGGTATCGTAGGGCACATATCTGCTACGACAAACCCTGAGTGCGCGGTTGGTGCTTCGTTGTTCAGCTTCCCGAGTCTTGGGGTGACTCTGTGGTTGAGTTCAAAATAGCGCCTCGGGCCACTAGGGAACAAGTGTTTTTTCTCACTTCCTGAGTGGATTAGCCAAAAAACGTCATTTTTTTTTTTATTTACCACTAAAATGCTCTACCCAGAAAGTGTAAAACTCCGGAACTCAGGAAGTCAGTTTTTGGGTACTTTATTCTACAGGGAAACCCCCGCTCAAAGACAGGTTTAAATAAGGAAATGCAACCCACCGGTCTACCAAAATCACGCACCTCTCTGGGCGTTTTGGTTGAGGGGTTCTGTCCCGAGAGGAATTCCCGCATCTTTCTCGGGTCGAGAAGCAACCCCATTAAGCTTTCCCGGTGGTTGTCAATGGTCGTGGGGTTCTGTGGATTCCCGTTTCAACGTCACATAGGCTCATATATATATATATGTGTATATATATATATATATATATGCAATACATTAAACATTAGGGCGCCCATCACAAAACGACAAAGAATAAGCGGGACGCCGGGGAAGAAGAAAGCACCGGCGTTCGCAAGGCAGGTTGATGAGACACTGGACATACACCATACATGGTGTCACCGGGCCCATACCCACAGTTGCCGGTTTCTCAAAAGTAGATTCCCTAAGAATATTGGGCCTTCCAATGGCCCTGACCCCCCTCCCATGAAAAATGCGGTATCAGGCTTACTTTGGTGGGGCTTCTGAAACTATCAAAAAAACAAAAAAAAAAAAAACGACCCGAATTTCTTTCCGCGCACCGCTTTGTGTTTTCCCCTTGCGCTTTGGGTACGCGCCTTCTGCCATGATTCGCCCTACGAAAGACGAGAGCTGTCAAAAGCCCTAGCATGAAAATGGCGGCCCCGAAACCCATCAGGTTTGGGTCGCCCACTTCACCAAACCTCTGAACAACTCCAGCCGGGACCTCAAAATTGAGGCCTTTTCCATGGGCGGTTTGGCTCCTGGTCCTCATCTTCGCCCTCTTGCTGCTGCTGCTGCATCTGCTCCTGCTTTTGGAACTCCTCGTACTGCTTGGCTGCCACTTTGTCAGCCTCAAGCCATGGCGAAAGCTCGGGGAACGGATCTGGGCGATATATTTTTTCACCGGCCTGAAATAAGGCGGTTTGGGAACTATTCCCCACAAAAAAAGGAGACACCATTTGGGGTGAGGTTGTGTGAGGTCGTTATAATTCACCCAGACGGATGGTTTCCTTTGGTTTCCTAAAGTGAAGCTGGCGAAGATCCACGTATGTTCAATCCAGCTGACATGTCTAAGCACACCTATGCCGCACACCCATCCAGCATTCATGCGGGGTCTTGGGCACCTTCGAGCAACTTTTATACGGCATCCTCCTTCAGAAAGACAAAACCATAGCTGTCTCTGGCAAAATGCTTCGAACCAAACTGACACCTGCCATGCTTCACCACCCAAACTGACCCAACACAAGACACCTCACAACTGGGCTGTTCAAACTGATCCCCTGCAAAAAGCTTTTAACTTGGGTTAAATACGGAAACCCAACCACTAAACCACCTAAGCAGCTAAAAGGCTAAGCAACCGGATGGCTGGGAACCGCCAAACCACACCCTCGCACGTGCCAGACGCCTGGAAAGTCCCGCCCCTGCCTCCACTCGATCCTTCTCGACCTGCTCGTCCACCTCCGCCTGAAACTTCTTGGCGTTTCGCCTGGCCGAAAGCTGCTACTCAGCTACGAATGATCTGGATTGGTGGTGTCGTCTAGGCCCTCCAGTAGAGAGGTTAGAACAAGGGCACCCTTTTTTTGTAGTCTATTTCGGTAGGGGAACCCTCCTAAAAAAGGGGTAAAAGGGCACCACTGGGAGACCTAATACCTAATAGTCATTGAGGGCTGGTTTCCCATTTGCCCTCAAGAACCAGGGCTTCAAACCCCAAAACACAAAGCCATACTAGAGAATACTAGAGAAATATTCCCCAACACAAACTGGGAATTGCATGCTGGGTTCACTTTGTTGCGACTTCCTCAGCTTCACCCTCTAATTCGTGGCTTACTGGGGCACCACCCCCCAAGAAGTAATTTTGAGAACGATCATGATATTCAGTTCAAAGGACCCTGAGATGCCCAGGTTTCGACTTCCTTTTTGACGTGAAGGGAATGTTGGCCCAGCAACAAAGTCATTGTGGGTCCCACCTGCAGGAGTGCTTTGACACCAAGGAAAATTGGGGGGCGAGATAACAGAGCCACTGTCAAATCAGCCACTACTTGAAGGGAAAACATATCCAACTTGTTCTAGGTCCTCCAGTAGAGAGGTTAGAATAAGGGTGCCCTTTTTTTCTGTAGTCTATTTTGGTAGGGGATCCCTCCCCAAAACAGGGCAAAGGGGCACTACTGGGGGGCCCTAGTGTTCCTTTTTGGGGTGGTTGGGGGTCTCTTGGCCGGGCTTCGAAGCTTCGATGCCCGCGCCGCCATCCGCGCGCCTGTCGTAGGCCCGGCGCAGGAAGACGAAGACCACCACCAGCGCCGCCACCATCAGCGCGCAGCCGCTGATGATCACGCCGAAGATCTCCTGTCGAAGCGCAAGCGCGCGTGTGGGGTGGCGGGTGGTGGGGGGTGGGGCGCTGGGTTGAAGGGCAAAATGGGCTTGTTGTTTTTTAGGAGACGCCACAAAATGGTGGTTGTCCTTTTGATTTCCCTTTGAACCAACCCACAAAAAGGTACCACCAAGAAACCACACACACACACACTAAGGGAAACCAACCAGCTTGGGGGGCTTCCGGAAGGTAGAAGGAGAATTGGAATCAACTTTGTTTGGTTGGTTGTCTCCAATAGCCGAGGAACCGCGTGTATGCGAGTATCTGAAACGACTTGGGATGGATCAGACATCAAAGGGTCCTGAAAAGCTGTGGGCAGGCGCTGGACAGAAGGAACATCTCATCGCTGGCTTCGATTGCCAGGAGAGGTGTCCAAGGAATTAGGGCACGGCCAAAACAACATCCTAAAGGCGTGATGGTGTGCGTTCAGTTGGGCTACCACAACTTTTGAGAACCCTCCATATCTTGGCCGACATCTATACAGAACATTTACTTTGTTCACAGTCTGTTTCGTATTTAGTCTACCCCAAACCACAAATTTGTTGTTTATAAGAATTGGGTGTGAAAAAAAGGCTTGTATGAGCATTGGGTGTTTATTTGTGTTTATCTTGTGCAAAAACAACAACAACAACAACAACAACAACAACAACAACAACAACAACAACAACA